TGAATGGCATCATCATAGATATTATATCACATGAATTTTAGATGTTCAACATGATGGAAAATAAAGTTGGGTGATCATTGTTTAATAGACTCACTAAAATAGTCAATATTGTAAAAGGACTAGGGAGAACGTTCACAAGATTTGAATTAAGTAGGATAATTATTAGATTCCTTACCTTAGAATGAAAACCTTAAAAGGTTCCCGTTGAAAAAGTCAAACACTATAAATTCAAATATAGTATTTGACTATAAAAAGGTGCCATAATTATTTTGAATAATTTTAATATAAAGAAAATAATGAATTAAATTCAAATATATCATATCAAATTCAGTGATCATGCATGTTTTAAATTCATTCACAAGAGAATGAGATGATCTTGATAATATCATCTATGTGTATACACAATAAAAGCATAATTTTCTTTCCTCTTCAAATAGAAATTTGCTTCACTTTCACTTTAGTAAAAGTTATTTTTATGAAGATAATAATTTATGTCCTATAACATACTATCGGTGTTTGATTTAGTCCATAAAGGCCTTTTTTAACTTGTAAATTTAATTATCTTTGTCATAAATTATAAATCTTTGGAGATACACAATATAGACATCTTCATCTTGTTGTGTGACTAGTAGACTAAAAAGTTAACAAAGAAGGGGAGTGAAATGATATTTCTTATTTTATGGCTTTGTGATATTATTTTAAACTATTTTTGTGAGTTTCAATAAAAGTATATTTACATAATTTTTGGTTTTGCTTGACATAGGGTATTGTGGATTGGCACAATCTTATGAGTCAACATAGTGAGTCAACACACAATTCATGTGAGTCGACACAATTTCCACTAAATTGGCATAGTAAGTTCCAACACGTGTTGAACATAAAGATTTATAGCTATTAGACTACTTTTTTCCTATAATTACTTTCAAGGGGGACTACCTTTTATTTTTACTATTCTTCTTCAAGGAATTAAAATTTTTAACTTGACAAGAGCAAGAATCTCCTTTTACACTATAGATTTTATGAGACTATCACCCCATGCTTGACATTAGGACACTAGTTTTATTATATACCCAAGTTACAAGTGCTCCCGAATGTCTTCACATATGATAAGAAGTTGTAAATATTTACAAAGATTTCATGATCTTGAAAGGAATGTTTCATTATTTATGAAGATAAGTTAAGTAAAGGAGAAAGCTTAACCTTGTGGAACCTTGTAGCTAAGTTTTCACATGATGATTTAGATTATGAAATAGATGAGAGTTTTAAAGTTGAGATACTACTTAATAACTTATTTGAAGAACATTTTATAAAGTTCATTTCAACCATTGGAGCTCATGCGAGTGAGATCTTGACATGACTTAGTCATTGTATAATAAATCATGTAAATTAAAAATTTATAAAACTAGAAAATACTAATTTTTGGATATTTAGAAGTATTTCTAAATAAATTAATTAATTATAATTCAATAAAATTTCTAAAAATAGTAAAAATTATCCAAGTCAATCACACGGATGTAATATAATATCAAATAATATTTCAAAATTTTTCTCAAAAAATATGAGTTTTTATAAATTTAAACTAAAAAATAAAAATAAAATATATTTAAATTAAAAAAAAAAAGCTACACATGTCAAGATGATGTTAGTACCTAACGAATGCGAATTAGATGAAAATAGAATTCCACTCAATGATTCTTACATAAGTAATTACATATGATTTAATTAGTCAAATTAAGATTTATAAAAGCTAAAAAAATCATAATTGAATGAAAAGTAGTTTGGAAATTTTAAATCAACATTATCTTTAAATGAAACAAACATTAAGTTGAAAGTAAGAAAAATATAAGTATGGCATCACGATAGTGATGCATCGATGATACATTAAAATTCTGAGTGTTCAAGAGAATTGTCATGTAGTATCCATGGCCTTAAAGGCTCTCTTTGGATAAAAACAATGTGGACAATCTCTAGATTTTCTTGCAAAGTCTAGAGATCAATGAAATAGGGCATCAAATTATTTCTGACGACTGTCACCTAGTAAAGGAAAAAAATGATGACTTTGCGAATCTATAGTGATTGTCACCTAATGAAGAAGAACTAAATAGAGGTAGAGCACGTGTTAAGAAGCTTTATCCTCAAGTTCACACAATAATATGAGGCTCTTCATCACATCTGGTACACTTTCAAGAAGTGATGACTCATCTCCTGATAGATCATCATCTTCTCGACAATTACTTTTTTGTCGATTAGTTAAAGATGATTTACTTGATGGATTCATGATCTTTTTATCATGAATTATTCAATAATTTTAGTAACAATAATCTATGAATCGTATTGACAAGATTTTTACTAATGATCAAATGATTTTAGATACTTAATCCTTCACTGATGATATGTAAGAAAGTCACAATTTAATGAGATAAAAATACAAGTTTTAGTTCTAGTAGAATTCAAATCTACACCAATCGTCTGCCTACATGAGAGAGAGGAAAATAAGTATATGAATACCCGTATAAAGTGACATCATCAGACTACTTCCTTCTGATAAATAAAGAATATTATAAGTATTAAAATCTTCAAAAATATTTTAGGGAAAGTGTGACCGTCGATTTAATCCCACATTAGTGATATGTCAAATGTTGAGATGAATATATAATAATACCATGTTTAGAAGTAATGAGTCTATTTTTCACCAGTGTATGACTACTCCTTGTCCCACAACTAACTGGCCACTAGTGATGTGGAAAAGGAGTAATGCACACATGTCCCCATCGGTCTATAGTTGCTCAAGCCCCTGCTCACAGCTCTACCCCCACTATGCTTCCAACCTACTTGCGTGCTTAGTTGGTTGATAGGTCCCCTATTTTTCTATTTTTTTTAATTTATTTTTCTTTATTTAAAATTATATAAAAATCACATAATTAATTAAAACTTATATAAAATCACATAATTAGTCAAAACTTTACATTAATTATCTGAAAATCACTTTTCACAATTTAACATAAATATAAGTCTATTTATCATGAGTTAAGACTAAAATTATATTATTTAGTAATTATTAACTCATGATAATGAAGACTTATCAGATCTAATCATGAGTTATTCTTTTTTATTGAGATATTTTCTCTTTTATAAGTTTCTCTCATTCTTCTTTATCTTGGCAACTTCGTGACTCATTTGTTGTACAAGTACAACTATAGAAGGATGATTCATATATCTCATTTAAATATCTCATATTTCTTGAAGTAACATTTGAATTAAGACTTGAACTATATTACTTATTGAGACTAGTTAAATATCTGAAATCTCTCGCCAAGAAGAATTTGGTGAAGGAGGCTTCAAGTGTTATGACTTATTCCATTTGTGTTGACCTTTGTTCATTTTCAAGAAAACGCACTTGTTGAATTGAACTTTCTTTTCTATTCCAATAATTATTCTAAATTGAATAAATAAATAATTTATTAGATTCAAGATTATATAATTGATGAACCTTATTTTTATCAGTAAAGCTAACAAAATACAATTTTCACTTATGTTATTCATTTTACTTTGATCATTAGAATCAATCAATGCATATAGTATACAACTGAAAGTTTTAAAATTACTTACATTAGGCTAATTTTGGAACCAATATTTAACAAGGAGTCATAGTCAACATTGTATTACTTGAAGAGATGTTAAGAAGATAAACCACCATTGATATTGGTTCCACCCAAAAAATCATTTAGAAGTTGATTTTTTCTTGGAGCTAGTATTACTAATGTCCTATTTTTTCTTTCACTGATATCACTTTATTTTAGAGTTTTCTAACCATTAATTGTTTACAAATGTCATGTTGTACCAAATTCATCAGATAAAAATTCTTCTCCTTCATTAGTGCATAATATTTTCATAGAATATATACTTGTAGTTTATATGAGACTAAAACTCTACAAAGTTTGAAATGACTTTAAGACTTTTGAACCAAAAAATTTGTCTTAACTCATGTGAGTAAAATCATTGATAAATAATAAAAATATTTGCTATAATTTAAATAATTAGTTCTCATTAGGCCATAAATATCTACTTGTATTAGTTCAAGCTGTGACCTTGACCTCTTAACTTTGTTGACTAAAAATATTTAGTACTATTTTCCATGAACAAACCATTCACAAACATCATTACTAGATCCAACTCTAATATCATATCATAATAAAGGAAAAAAATATGTCATAGAGAAAAATAGAGAAGAGAGTAATTAAGTAGAGAGAATATGTGATCCCTCTGAAAGCCTGATTATTTTTTTTAAAAAAGTAGAGAGAATATAAGATAAATTGTAACGTCTAACACACAAAAATATCACACTGAACTCGACCTGATACAAGAGATAAAAAGTAAAGTTAATGGTCGAAGCGGACCTTTCCACTTCAGTGCATCATAACTGTGAGTGAGACCTGACCTATTAAGTGGGGAGAGGAAGTGAGTCATACTTTACATCACTTATTAATATCGCATTTGGAAACACTGAAAGAGGAAGGATCAGATGGAGAATCAGAAGAACTGGTGTGTCACAAAGTAACAGAAGCTAAACGCCTCTCACCACTCGGAGGAGCCCAATCTGATTCCTCTCCTCCCTCTGTGACCAAAGACGGGGAGGGAGACGGGAAAGATGCCTCGCGGCGTTCACCGATAATGAGATCTAGGAAAGGTGGAGGAGGCGGAAGAGTCGGGCGCAGCATAATGGATCCGTATCCATTTCGGATCGTGTTTTGTGCCAGCTTTGGAATCGATTCCAAGCAGATTCCCTCAAGCGGAATGTTTGCTGCAAAAGTACCAACTGTCTGATAGTTTTACAAATTAAGATTTTGAGCGTTAAATATTGTGAATATATTTCCACAGATACCTTATCGTAATTTGGTCTGCGCTAGTAGCGGCGCCACGGGTCGGGGGAAGAAGAAGATAAGACATCCTAGGAAGGGCGAGGGCTGTGGGCAGAAGCGAGAGGAAAGAGGAACCGCAAGATGGCTTCGGTCCGCCTCGCCACCACCTTCCTAGCGAAGAACCCTTCTTCTTCCCCGCCCTCCTCTTCCTCCAACAGGCTCCTCTTCCGGGTTTGCCTCTCTGCCCGGTCGCCAGGTCGCTCCTTCTCTGTCTCAATTGCTTCTTCTGACGGCGAGCTGTTTGTGGGCACGCGTCGCAGGGGGCGGCGGTCGGCGGCGGGCGTTGGAGCTGCCGGAAGAAGGATATTCACCCTGAATACCACGAGGACGCGCGGGTCTACTGCAATGGGGAGCTGGTGATGACTACGGGGGGCACCCAGACAGAGTACAACGTGGACATCTGGTCGGGGATCCACCCCACCTTCCTGGGCGACCGCTCCGCCCTCCTGGTGGAGGACGATCAGGTAGAGAAGTTCAGGAAGAAGTTCGGCCAGCTTGGGGGCAAGTACATGGAGATTCCTAACCTCAAGTACGGGGAGATCGTGCTGCCCACCAAGAAGAAAGCGGCCTCCGGAAAGGGAGGCAAGAAGAAGTGATAAAGGAAGGAGGGCTCTTCTGTCTCGGCTGGTTCTAGCGATTTGCTTTGACTACATTCAATGTACCACTGACTCGCTGTTTTATTCTTCCTCTCCGCCTCATTGTTCTTGCCTTCGTTGTCTTAAAGGTCCGTGTGAATCGCAATCGATCCTCTCAACCTTGTGCAGTGTGCCTTCTGAATCTACAGGACTGCAAACTGGATTTTTGAAAGAACTCAAGCTGCCATCGTGATGTCTTTTGATGTCTGAATTGGTTTTCTGAGGGATTTTTTTTCTGAACTCTATTTAAAAGCAGGTGTTGTGTGGTAATCTAAGCTAAACTTATGTCCTTAGAAATATTGTAAACCCCTCCCTCTCGTGTTGTGGGCACTCTTGCGCCAAATCTTACAGATTTTCTTGGCTTCTCCGGTTGATTTCCTCATATTTTTTCTTAAATGAATTTCTCGCAGCCGAATAGTCGTGAACAATCTTTAAAAAAATTATGCATATTTCTTGGCTTTTATGGTTGGCTTCCTTAGTCTTCTTATCAAATGAAGGTGTAATTGCTGAATGGTTGCTTGTAGTGAGCTCCTGCTCGTCATTAGCTTCATGAATCCGACTTATATGGGCTACTGTTGTTGAAAACAGTCCAGCCCGAGCTTGTCTCCCAGAATACGTGTCGAAGTGATTGTGGGTTGTCCCCAGATTGTTCTTTTTATTCCAAAACCAAAGTCGTAGTGTCTGGAATTCATGAGATTCAAAGAAAGTATAGCCAAGCAACCGCTGGACTTTTTCAGTAACTGAGGATGATGCTTCTTGGATCCTCACATTGCTTGACGTAGTGATCAATTTGTGAATGATTTGGATTCTCTCACGATTTTTTTCTCATCCAGATGGTTGGATAATATATTTAAGGGGGATATCTCTTGGCAGAGCTTCTTTTCATTATGTTTACAAAGCTAACGCATCCCACTCACCGTCCCATGGCCACTAATTCATAAATTAGATTTATTTTTTTATAAAAATCTTCATAAATAAAAGTACGCGTAAGAGGATTATACTGGTTTCAAATTTTCCTTCTTTCACTTCCTCCTTTGCACGAATAGAGGATACATGAGAGGCCTCTGGGTCTCCCTCCCACTGCGAGTTGCTTTCCTGAGTTGACTTCGCATCACCCACCCCTTGCTTGTCTCCATTTTCCTCATGCACCAGAAGACCTGCTCTGATCTAGTTATCAATATGTTATATTCTTGGACATGAGATTATCTCAGCCCCCTTCTATGCTATATTTCCATTGAAATTATTCAGAATCTTGTTATTTCTGCCTTCTCCTTGTGAATATTCCTGGGTGAGTCTCAGTTTCATTCTATTCGGTGGATTAATGCTCTTAGAATGGATACCAAGGCCTCTGAAGTAGCCAGGATTGACTCCCACATGTTTTGACGAACAGTTGAAGCAGACTTCGGTGGTGGGTGAAGTCGAATGAGGGTGGAAAGAGGGTGGAACACACTAAAAACCTACGCTTTGTTCGGTAATATTTCATTCTTTTTATTGCCATGCAGTGTGAGTAGACCAGGATTGTAGAAAAAGGCTTGGGGGTGGTTACTGAAGTGAAAACTATGGAGAATGCTGGTGCCCATAATTACGTTGATGTGCCTCGGTCAACTGGGTCTCTCCCAACTCTCTCAGAGGCAAGAACTGAGATGTTTGGACCATCCCCTTTCAATCTGGGTTGACTTAGGAAGCCCTGGGTTTGGGTTTCTACTACTAATGGCTTACTCTCCGCACATAATTGAAATCTGGGTAGAATGTCGGTACCCCTAATTGAGTTTGAGCGGCTCAGTCAACTAGGTTTTCCCCCTCTTTCTCGTTGACAGAAAAGCTGGGATGCTTGGATCAGCCCCCTTCAATCTGGACTGACTTCAGGAAGAAATAGATTTCACTTTCTGATAGCGATGATTTGCTCTCTGAAAAACTTTGAAATCTTGGGAGAATGTTAATGCCCCTAATTGAGTTTGAGCGGCTCGGTCAATCGGGTTACTTCAAATTGCCTAAAGTCAGAAGAGTAGGAGTGTCAGCATCATCCTATTCCAATCTGCAGTGGCATCAGGAAGCCCCGCGTTTGACTTTGTGAAGGGGAACAAAGGAATCCTCAGGCAGTACCTAACACATTCAGCGGCCTCTGCTCATGCTCCGCATTGTCGTTGACTGGCTGGATCATGAGAGTAGGTCAATTTGGGGACCAAAAGAAAGTCAGCAAGAAACGGGGAATCGATAACGAAGGATTCCTACTCTTCTCTTCTTTCTGGGAGGACAATCCCCTTGAATGGAAGCCAAGAATGAAGTGAGCTCGGAGGGGTTCACCCCTCTCTCAGGGCATCTTCGTCTCCTCCCACCCACGCAACCCATCCTCATGTGAGATAAATGTTCTCCATCTTGCCTTCGAGAGTAGGCCTTCTCTTTGGCTCCGGTGATGGCGGCGGGAGAGGGCGTGAGCACGAGGAGCGTCCTGCTAGACGAGTACGAGCGGTTGACCTTCGAGATCCAGTTGAACCAGGCAATCCTGGGGAGGGGCTTCTCCTCCCCCCCCGTCCGTCAACGCCGCTCAGACCGCCGGCCGGGGAAGAGCTCCCCCACGTCGCGGGTCGCGAGGGCTCTGAGGAGGTTGTTGACATCTTTCCGCAGTGCCGGGTTCCAACGCGGGCGAAGGGCGGCGGCGGCGGCTCCTCAGGTTCCTACTGGCAGCACCCCACGAGGTGCCCGGGCTATGAGGGCTTTCAGCCGATCCAGCAGAGGTTGAGGGTGAACGCCCCCGGAGGTTCAGTTGCTCCTGTTGAGCTCGATCTTCCGCTGCCTCCATTAATCCAGCTTCCGATGGATTTGCAGACTTTCGTACCAAAGATTTCCGACTCACCCGACGTCGATCTGTTGCATTCAACGTAAGGAACATCAGAGTTTCTCAAAACATTAGACTGATTCATGTTTTCTTCCTCATCACGCAATTGTCGCTGCCCCCACCCTCTCTCTCTCTCTCTCTCTCTCTCTCCCCTTCCTCCACCGAACAGAGCAACGTTCCGCTCACTGTTTCTGGGTCTTCTTCCCCAGTGGTCCGTCTGACCCTAATAGTGTGGAGTACTGTACAGTCCTCCCCTCCCCTATCTCCATCCCTCTCTCTCTCTCTCTCTCTCTCAGGTGCTCACAGAAGCTTCTCATACGACGCCGAGGCTGAATAGATTTAGTGAGAGAAAGACAGACAGACACAGAGAGGAGATAATTTCGGAACTGACCCTAGACTACTGTCTGTCAAGCACATGACACATGCTGTCTTGACGAGTCAATCCGCTCGTATCGGTCTCACTACCGCACGTGCCTGCGACAGAAATTCAAACCCCAGCTCTAAGAAACCTAACTTTCTGTATGTATGTATATATATATATAGAATCCGGTACGTTGCATGTACAGTAAGTAGCCCACGGCCACGACTGAATGACCCATTATACTGTATCGTGCACATATACGTAGACAAAAAGAGGTAGCCCGTCGCATATAATTGGTGGGTACCCTGGGTTCCCCTTGTTTAGTGATAGGACGTGGGCGTTGACCACTCCGACTCTCTCTGCGGAGATAGAGAGAGATATATATATAGATAGATAGAGAGAGAAAGAGAGAGAGAGAGAGAGAGAGAGGGAAGTAAATATTGTATCGTGCACATATACGTAGACCAAAAGAGGTAGGCCGTCGCATATAATTGATGGGTACCCTGGATCCCCCTTGTTTAGTGATAGGACGTGGACCTTGACCACTCCGATCCCTATCTGCGGAGGGGAGAGAGAGAGAGAGAAGTAGATAGGTGATGGCAAGATGGTCGTTGCGTAGTTATTGGCTCCCGAGGGAAATGCTTCATGAAATATGGGTTTCTCATGCAAAGCAACGCGTGATTTTCCATCCAGGCGCATTATATTCTAGGAAACTTAATGTTACGACCCAAGGTTTGACAAACTCATATAACGTTCGATTAATCTCCAAATAATTGCAATAATAACTTTGACTGAGTTTATCGAACCCATGTGTGATTATCCTCGTAATAATAAGTAAAAATAATTATTCGTGCTAGAAAGTTCGAGTCTATTTTTCAATATATATCATTCAAATTGCACTGCGCGACAAGATGTCTCGTCAGTCGCGGCGGAGCTCGGCTTTTCGATGGAGAGGCAGTTGAATGTTCAGTCCAAAGGTAAGCAGTAGCTTCGCACTGAGCATGAAGTTAAGACCCCATACTTGATTGAGCAAGAGAGAGAAAGAGTGAGCGAGTGAGAGGGAGAGAGAGAGATTGGGGGGGGGGGGGCTAGTCACATCCTATCACAGGAAGCCTCTGTTCACGGCATGGAAGCGCATGTGTGAAGTAGCTATGGGAGGGACTAAGGATCGTATGGGACGGCTGAGAATGTATTAACAAGCTCTGGAGCAGGAGCGACGGGCTTTGTGGAGGGTACATTCCTGGGATGCCCGAACGAGACTCGCACCTACCCATCCGACAGAAATTTAGAGAGAGAGAGAGAGAGAGAGAGAGAGGAGTGGTGAGAAAAATGGCCTCTCCATGATGCTTTCTAAGTGTAACTTATCAAACCCGAGACTCCAGCTCTATGAAGATCAGGCAGGACCAACTTTTGACTTAGCGAAATATCTTCCTCTCCCACTCTCTCTCTCTCTCTCTCTCTCACACACACACACACTCTCTTAATGTCCGTCTATCTTTCTCTTTCCTCCACCTATTCTCCGACAACATATCTAGACCAGTCCGTGGTTATAGGACGTTTCTTGATCCTTCTCGGTAGTTGTAAGCCTTTATTATGTTTGCCAGCCATGAATAACGTTTCCCTAGGAAAATAACAAGAGAGAGCGGAATCTCTACCAACGCTGGCTGTTGACCAACTACGAAGGACTCGTTCAACTCGATCAGCTAACACACGCTCTCTCTCTCTCCCTCCTCTCACTCGTACTCGTCCCTGGCTTTAGAAAGGGAAAGTAGGACGTGGGTAAGACGAAAAGATTTTAAATGCGGCACAATGACCAACTACTCTCTCCGTCTGTTCATCGATTGCGATGTTTCATATAGTTCCCTCGGATTTGGTTTCCTTCTTCCTAAATCAACAAAAAAACACTGTTGCGACAGGTAAACCCTTGAAGAATAAAGATTCTTCCTTTTCCTTTTTTTTTTTTTGGGGGGGGGATTGGAGAGAGAGAGAATTACATGTTGAATGAGGCTCCGATTAAAGTAAAAAAATGCAAAAATATCACCAATATGTTTAATGAAGCGAGTTCGAGAGCATTTGAGCGACTATTAACGATCATTTATGTCACTAAGGTTGGAGGATTTGCATAGAGATGATGATATAAATTTTATAATTCCCATTTTTTTATTTTAAATATTTACTATTCTCTTTTACCGACAACCAGCTCCCAAAATAGCCCTCACGACATGAAAGATCATTTAACACAAAAAAAATTCACTGGGTAAAATAGATTGGGAGATTTAAGATAATGATTTAATAGATACGATCTACGTCTTAAATCAGTTTTAGGGTACATAATTAAATGGAAAACGACAACAATTACCCTACGGAATTCAGTATATATAAAACTAGAATTAATAAATAGGAACTGGGAAATTAAGGGAGTGTGTAAAAAGGGGTTATAAAGTTGTTGACGGGGCCTTGTTGTCGACTTTATTAATACCCACCCGTGTACCTCACATGTTCCCAAGGAGAAAGACGAACCACCGACCCATCCCTTCCTCTTCTTCCCCCACGCACTGAAAACGGAGGAAGACGAGGATAGAGAGAGAGAGAGCGAGAGAGGGGGTGGAAGCAAAGCGGCCCCTCTTTGCTCGTAAAACATGGATCTCGTCAAGGTGGAGAAGGAGAGAGCAATGCTTCGCTACCGTAGGCTCCGCCGTGCTGCGGCGCTCTCCCGGTGGCTTCCACAGTTCCTCGCCGCGCTCACCCTTCTCTCCTGGTTCTCCGGCCGCTTCCCCCCAGTCCTCGCCCACTACGTCGGTCTCCTGCGCCGGCTCCTCCCCAGCCTCCTCAACTCCCTCTCGGCATTTCTCCTTGGTAACCTCATCATCCTCGCCCTGGTCGCCAAATCCGGCAAGTACGCTGAAGACACACCTCCCTCCTGCCCTCGATGTCCAAGTGCCTACGATGAACTCCACCCCTCATCCACTCCCTCGGCCGTTCCTCCGCATCAGCTTCACCAGAAGGAGGAGATAACGGACCAGGAAGAAAAGGAGGCGGATGTGGAAGAGAGGGCGGAGGAGGAGGAGGAGGAGGAGGTCCTCGTCTACGAGGATAAAGGCGTGTGTTTGGAAAGTGTCACCTCCTCCGCCACCACCAAGAAGGGTCAGCTCCTTCAATGGAAGTCGGAGGTCCTGCCACATGCCGTCGAGGAGGACGACGCCGAGAAGCAGTTCCGCCGCTCCAAGACTGAGATGGGCGCTCGCCGACTCGTAGTGAAGCGGTGGCCCGGGGAGTTGTGGTTGGAGTCAGAACAAGGAGAAGAAGAGGCGGAGGAGGAGGAGGAGGAGACTAAAGGCTGCCGGATGCCGGCAGAAGATGACGGTGACGAGTTCCGGCGGAGGATCGAAGCCTTCATCGCCAAGCAGCTGAGCTTCATCGAAAGGGAGGAGGAATCTCTGCTCCGCCAGGCCAAGGCAGTCGCCGCCTCCGCGCCGCCGCCACAGACCACCGCCTCCGACGGTGCTTCTTAAGGGAAGGAAAACACAATAATCGGCCCAGTTCTCATTTTCGCCAACCGTCTGGAAAGTAAAAATGGATACTATCCTTCATGCGGCGGTAGACCGCCAAATGAAACTCCGATGTATGTGAAGATTGTACATCTCCGTACATTCATCGTCTTCAACCTTCTTCTTAGGCTAGAGCGGCCCTTATACATCTTAAGTTAGTTATTTATCGGAAAAATCCAGCTGAGCTTGGTTATTTATCGCTATCTACTTCATATAGTCCATTATTGTACTGCACTAAACTTAACAAGTCCTTTTAACCAAGGTCACAAATTAAAAAATAGATTAGTCCCATTTACATGCTACTATGCTTCCGACCCATCTTCCGTTGTAATGAAACATTTGGATTTTATCATGACAACAAGATTGAGTTCCTGGAATTCTTGAAAAGACTCCTCGACCTGATATCATTTTAAGGTTATCAGGCTGTCCCACCAAAAGTTATAATAAGAACACAAATTATTTTTTAGTAATTAATACGGAGCTAATTAGATAGATTCATCGTACAATATAAAAAAGGAAATTAAGATTAAAAGCCACTACCGCTTTTGATGTCCCATCTCAATGGATCACATTCAAACTTAGTCGTTTGTCTTTTTCGTTGACCCGACTGTCTCTTCTCGCAACATCCACTTGAAAGTAACAAGAATTCCGGAGAAGCCTCAATGCACCTTCCTCTGGATCACTTTATCTTCCATTAAATGGATATCTCATCCCGGAAAGGAGTCTTCTTCTGGCCTGACGAACTCCCCTGTGAAGGTTCGTCATCTATGTGGCCGAGCCAGTTGTGGTTGAGCTCTGAAGAACTCCCTTCCTCTCGCTTTTTAAAATCCAGCAAGAAGAAGATAACGGGTCATTATCCCGCCTTGAGCATGGGAAGGAAGACCGTGGTCTAGGAGATGTCGTAGCTCGGTAGGCTCTCCCTCTTTCTCTCTCTCCGTCACCTAGGTTTCAAGAAAGTTGGGCGGGAGAGACAGACCAGTTCACGCACTCGGGACTCCCACAGCGACTCCTTTGCCCCTCCTCTGTTCAGACCAGGAGCTGGCGTATAGCATTGCCCCCCGCTCCCTTCGCGCTGCCGTCTGCCATTTTCCTTCTTGTTTTGGTAATAAAATCAGACAGCGAGACGGTGACGATGGAGATGGACCCTGCCAGAATTGCTGTCGATGAATGGGCCTTGCAGAGTGTAGCAAAGATCGTTCCTTGATCTCTCTCTCTCTCTCTCTCTCTCTCTCTCTCTCTCTCTCTCTCTCTCTCTCGCTCACTCACTCACTCACTCACTCACTCACTCACCTTTATTCGTTCTTGACCAGTTCTACAGCCACCGGCAACCTGCTCCCGGGACAGCTCCATCGAGGCTAGAAGCTCCCGCATACTGGCCCCTGACATGTTCGGGCTTTTCCCTCAGATGGTGAAGTCATCTCTCTCACGTTCTCCTTCCCTGTTGCTCATTAGCTGCCGTCCGTTTTGAACGGGTCCTCTCCCTCTCCCATACCTGTTCAGACTCCACCCACTGAACTCAAATCCTGAACCTCCTCTCTCTCTCTCTCTGTACATGTATCTATACATATCTATACATCCCCATTTCTCTAAGTAGGTTTTGAATTTGTTGTCTGGGGGACGTATCTTCTCGAAGACGAACATTCCGCCCTAATAGTGAATCCAAGTAAATCATTTTGAAGGAGTTCTCGTCCATCAGATCTATCAACCCCTCCACCTACCCAACCCCCTTCTTCCTAACACACCCTCGCAACCAATTCGGAGGGAGTAAATATGCGGATGTCTTCATCGATGTCTTACTGTAATTATTTTCGACCGCTGAGCCACGTTCCACAGTATACTTCCAACGCGTCACAACTTGGGGTTTGGGATGCATCACATCTCTATCACATCTCTCTCTCTCTCTCTCTCTCTCTCTCTCTCTCTCTCTCTCTCTCTCTCTCTCTCTCTCTCTCTCTCTCTCTCTCTCTCTCCCTCTCTCGCTCTCTCCCCTCTCTCCCCTCTCTCCCCTCTCTCCCCTCTCTCTCCCCCTCCCCCCCGCCATCTCTCTCTCTGCACCCCCCTCCTACCCTCTCCTATCCACCTCTCTAGTGACGCGGAAGAGGAAGAAGCGCTTCATTAATTGGTATCATTCATCAAACATCACGATGCAAGTAGTTGACGGGAATATTATCAGAGATCAACAATTGTTGGCGTGTGTATCCATGTAGATAACGATACGTTACACAAAGAGAAATAAAGAGAGCGACTTTATGACTGGTAAGCGCATACCAGAGGTCGCTCACAGGTACAGAATGACTCACAGATACTCGGCGTCAATCACTCGACGAGATCGGTGTCACCTTGATTGGGCATCCGCTCCTGAGCCTAGGAAAGAGCGCCCCTTTCTCCAGGCTCGTGTCTGTGTCGATCACCTTCCACCTGATATCACCTCACCTTATTCCCAGTCTTTAGAGAGAACGAGAGAGAGAGAGAGAGAGAGAGAGAGAGAGAGAGAGAGAGACAGGGGGAGACCTGAACATCGTGACCAGGCGATGGAGAAAGACCAGCATCATGGCCTTGGCGAGGTTCATCCCCAAGCAAGTCCTCTCGCCGGTGCCGAACGCCAGGAAGCTGTACGGTTTTGGGTCCTTCTGTATTCAGGGGCAAAGAGAGGAGAAGAGAGGAGAAGATAGAAGGGTCATGGCGTCGTCCTCTGTTCGAGCAGGCGAAGAACGGGGACATGATGCAGGAACGTACGTGGAACCTCAGAGGGAAGAACTTGCCCGGGTTGTCGTACACGGCCGAGTCCGAGTGTATGTGCCTGGCGTCAACGTTCACAATCCAGCCTTTTGCGATCTGAAAACCTGCCAAATCGTCTCTCAATGTGAGACTACTCTCTCTCTCTCTCTCTCTCTCTCTCTCTCTCTCTCTCTCTCTCTCATCTGAGACAACTCCATACTGCAAGATGGCGACGACGACGACTGAACTAAAATATTAAGATGGTCAACGTTTGGATTTAGGCAAAGTTGGGGAACCATGGCCACTGAAACAAATATAATAAACTTTTAAATTTGAGGACTATTCTAACGCTCTCCCTCACTCAGGTGCATGCGGATCCTTTGAGTGAGGCCTTGAACATGAGATTATGTCTATGACACTGATACTACGTCAAAGGCAGGTAAAAGTCAACCTAGGATTATAACAAAGATGAGTCAACGATCATTGAGACAACGTTGAGAAACGGATTCATCTAATTCGGGATTGTGTTATAATTTTTGTATTATGATGAAAATTGAATCACGTAATGTAGTTTGTATCTTTCGATATAAGATTCTTCTCACATGATTCATCTTATGTGATTTCCTCTGGCATCTTACCTTCGACCTCACAGTCTTCTAGAGCAACCCTTGGGAACCATGAGACGATGCTCGCCATCCTCAACGTTTCCTTCACCACCTGAAACCCACTTGCGTAAAAAAGCTACAATTTTTCAACGTTGGCTCCTAAGTTGTCAGATAAGTCGACGATTATGTGACAGTTAAAATAAGGAATAAATATCATTATATATATATATATATATTGATACTCTCTAATCGTTATCTATTGCGTTTTTCTGACAGCTATGGGAGTTTCTTCTTGTGATTCCTGTTCCTACCATCGATGCGTACGCCATCTGGCCGAGAGCTTCAGGGTCGAGGTTGTTCTCTCCGGGAGCATTGCCGACTAGTAATGGCAAGTGCAGTTCCTGTGCAGAACGGGGTGATGAGCTTCTTGAGTAGAAACAAAGAGAGAAGGTAGATGCAAAATAGGGTTGTTCGTCTTCCTCTTCCTCACTCTGACTCTCTCCTGAACGTTTGGATTCTCGTCCAAGTACTTGACCATCCATGCAATCGCGCTCGCCGTGGTGATCTGCCCTGCATCGCAACAGACAGTTTTCATCCCAACTTCAACACTGAAGATCTCAAAGATCAGGATTTTCCATTTAGTTTGTCAACCATTACCTGCAATGATTAGAGTAAGCATGTTATCTAAGATTTGTGAATCCGTCAACTGGTCGTCCGAGGAGCGTTGGTCGTCCATGGCGAGAAGAGATTGTAGGAAATCGTCGTGGTGCTCTGAACCTTCTCTCCTCTGGCGTATCGTCTTCCTCAGCGAGGTCATTACCCTTCTCCTTGCCTGTTCACCATCAGTCAATCCCATGGCTTGCCGATTTCCCATGTTCATGGCAGCGGAGCTGGTGGTTAGGTGAACAGGCCATTACCTTGAGCCCTTTGAAGAACCTGCACCCTGGAAGCTTGAGAGGGATGGAAAGCATGGCCTCGGTGACTTCGGAGATATCTCTCTGCATCTCGGCCAGTTCGTCTTCTCTCTCTATGCTCGCCAGAAGCTTGCATATGGCCGCGAATGTTATCTGCGACGACAACCTCCAGTAAGATCATGGGATTAAGGCTATGTCTATGGACTGTAAGTAGTACCTTTAGAGCTTCCTCGAGCACCACCATTGTCTGTCCCTGCTTCCACTTACCCAGAGCTTCCACCGTCAGCCCGTCGAATGTCCTTACCGACGCTTCCAAGGACTGGGTGTTGAAGAGTGTAGACATGCGCCGGCGGAGGCGGCGATGGTTCTCTGGAGAAGCACACAGCAAGCTCTGCTTTCCCAGCAGCTCCGAGATAGATCTCATGTACATCTTCGAGAAACCGACGGAGTCGCCGCCGAGGACTGCCTTGGCGGCGCTGGTTGTTGAGACAAAGACCTGGGTCTTCCCGAAGATGCTTGTCTTGAAGCAGTTCCCGTACCTGCCCAAGGAAGAGAGAACTCATCAGTGTACCTTGGGCTTTGACAGATAGTTCTCAAAAGAGGTCGATGGAGTCACCGGAGGCGGCGGGCCCGTACGAACTCGTAGAACCCCTTGCCGCTGCGGTCGGCTGATAGGAAAGAGAGGGTCTCCCCCACCAGGGGGATCCCGTGGATGCCCGGCGGCGCCGGCGGACGCCGAACCCTCCCGAGTCTTTCCCTGCCGACGCTACGGAGCAGCATCTTCAGTAATCCAAGGAGAAAGAACGCAGCGAGGACGGATGAGACGGTCAGCGTGAGCAGAAGCAAAGGAGCAGGGTCTGCTGGGATCATTCTCCTTCCTCCTCTTCGCCCTCCTCCTTGCTTCGTCTTCTTCTTCGGATGTTCGGAATGGATTAAATCCACTGATCATACCTTCAAGAGGATAAGGTCGCACAGCAGTGCACTACTTTCTGCTTTACTGCCCATTATGTTCCTGTGCTCCTCAGTGGAGGTCATTCAAAGATAAAATACAACCAATGACACCACACCGAATAATTCACGGGCTCTCAGCCACAGGCAGCACCAGCAATCTACTGTTCCTCTCAACATATGGACATGGACTAGACTAGTCAATAGTGTCGAGGATACTGTGCTACTGAACTCGGAAGAAATCGATGACGAGTGGTGCCTACGTCCTCATGAAGAGTGATTTACATTGTATTAATAAATGTGTGAGTATTCTATCACAAATCGACACCAATTATTCTATTATAGATGTGGGTGCAACGGCGAGAGAAACGGATAGAGAGTCAGTCTTGATCACTAACGGCCACGTCTTCTCCGTCAGGGCCCTCTTGACTTACACTAATAATTGTTTTCATGTCAAATCACGGGGGGTGCAGTGCACCCCTGACGACGTCAGGTGGTCCATGCCCAAGATGCTCATTGAGCCCCATTCCTGAAACTTGATCTTTAAGATCAATGTTCAGGAGTTCATGTAGATTCCATGAAGACGTTCTGTTCAGGAGTTAAAGAACCCATTTCCACGTCGTCACTTCTCCCTCCCGCCTCCCGCTTACTCCAGCGGCCGCCGCCACCTGCGGCGACGATTCTCTCCCTTCCACCTTGTGAAGGCTCCGGTAAGACTAGTTTTTCGAGTCAAAACCAATTTCATTTGCTTCAGGCTTACCGTGTTATGGAGTTCAAGCTCAGTCGACCACGAATAGATCAATACGAGAATATTTTTACGGAGAGCGTGACGAATGGCCGATTTCAACAGTTCCTCTCCTTCTCTGGTTGAATAACTCTCTGACGCGTGAATAACCTTTTCTAAAAGATTTCATAAAGAACTATCATCATTTCAGTATCACATTGGGACTCTTAAATAGAAGATAAGCTGAGAAAAGCTACATTCTTGAGATTATCTTGAACTCAGGCCAGCTTCTTTAGAACCGATACTATGTTGATAGATTTAACATCTCGTTGGGTCAGCTCCCTCTCCACCACCTTGTTGTACACGTCGAACAGCTTCTCGATGAGGTCTTCTCGGAAGTGCTGGCGCAGAAGAGGTTCCTGGATGGCCCTGATGGACATGGCGATGGTTCCAGCGCCCGTGGCGTCCTCCTTGGTCCCTTTGCCTTCAAACAACTCCAGACACTCAATTGCGAAGGACCCTTCTCTCTCCACTTGGACCTCTATTTCCTCGAGCGATGGGGCGTAGAAGTGGGCGTTGTACGAGTCCACCTCCTCCTCTCTTACCTCTCCCTGCCCAAGAGAACCATAGAATGCAGCTAGTGATGAGAGAGGCACGGCCTTGGATGTGATGAGCAGGGGCAAGTACTGGGGTTGCCAGACTTTAAAGAACCCTGAGCCCATATTAAAGCCCGGAAAATGGACTTCAGGCTCTAGAGAGAGAGAGAGTTGCGAGACCTCAGGAGAGCCTTGTCGTCGGATGACGACCGGGGCAGGCTGGGTTGCCGCCCGGCTCACGGGACACATTAATAATCCTAGTGGACACCACGCGTGCAGTGATCGACTAAACAAATCCACGATCACTCCGCCGAACTCCATGCGGATTATTTATTAATCATCTTCTGGTACTTCACAGGGAAGAATGAAGTGATGAAACTAGGAAGGTCGGGGATTGGAATACCTTGAGGACCATGGCGGCGAAGGCTTCGTCAAGGAGGTCCCAGAGGAGGGTGGCGGCGTCGTCGGAGTGGTCTCTGGTCCTCCTCCCCAGCATAATCAACGCCATCCTCGCCCCGGAGACCAGCTCTCGGGATCTAAGACGCAGGAAGAGACTGAAATCGTCCTGGAACTGCCGGAGGTACGACTCCTGCACCGGGAAGGAGCTCGCCGTAGACAAGTACGTCCTCCCCTTGTTGGTAGACTTTCCGTCCCCGTCGAGGAGGGAGATGGGGGCCTGCCATTCGATGAACACCGCAAAAGAAAGGGCTGTAGGCATTTTCTTGTTGAGACGTGGGGAACGCTATGTAAAAGAAGAAAAGGAGGAATAGTAAAAGGGCGGTGATAGGTCAACGAAATAATAAATTAGTTGTGAAATTAAACGAAGTGATGTAAAATCATCCTCGTTGGCGGTGTCGACGGGCTGGGCTAGGTTCTTGACAAGTTAGACCCGAGTAAGAGTCTAGGGTCAGCCAGGTTCGGAGAAAGCCATAAAAAATGGGTCGAATATGCATCACACCCGACAAGATGGACAGATATATGGAGAGAGACAGAGACAGAGACAGAGAGAGGTTTTTGTGACTGAATAATCTTCTGCAAGGCCCATAGTCAAGCTGGTGGGGAGAAAAAAAAAAACCAGAGAATGAGTATGGGCGTGAACCTGTGAAGCTTAGGACTGGCCAGAATGTGTACTGCCACATGATGAGATTCTTACGAACATGTGTTCTAAGGTATTGTGCTCGGATAATCTTAATGCCTTCATGACAAATATTGTGATGCTCGGACTTGATCATCGTAAGAGCGTCCCGAGGCCTGTTATAACTCATTCTGAATTTGGATTTAAATTCGAGTCTAAGAATTATTTGCTCTCCCTCGGCCAACAGGAGAATTTAGGAAGCGAGAAACCAGCACGATAAGATTTTGAGATCATCAAGCCTTATATGCCATGAATTATCAACTATTTTCTACTTTAAAATTTTCTACGATCCTCGTTCTACAGCAGGCGGGTTCACCGCGAATTATCTACTAATACGAGACTTTTTCGCAAGATCGATAATAAAATCATTTATCCCGCAGAAGATGTTCTTTCGTATAGATTGCAAAGTGACCCACCTGAGAGAGCCAATGCAGGCTGTAGGAGGAGTGTATGAAGTGTAGGCTGTTGCTGGGGAAAAGCCTCCTGTAGAAGGAGCCAGGGACGCCAGACATGAAAACCGAAGCCCCGCAGCCTCCCACGGCCTTCCTAATGAACTCGGGCACCCCCACGAAGACGGAGTTGAAGTCGTTCGAGGGGAGGTCGTTCAGGAAGACCATGAACTCCGGCGGCTCGAGGGAGCTCTTCCGGCAGGCGTCCTTCACTGCGCCGACGAGGCCCTCCGTAGACAGCAGCGCGTTGGGCCCGGAGGAGCATCCCAGGTCGGCAATACTCAGACAGGCCGGCTGCACCGCCAGGAAGGCATCCACGACCGCTCTGCGGATCACATGCTTCACAATCTCGCGGTCTCTCCTCTGCGCAGGGCGACGGATCCATTCATGAGGAAAAGAAGAAGATTTGAGAAGAGAGAGAGAGAGAGAGAGAGGGCGCAAGAGATACGCTGATAACCTGCAGAGAGGAGTTGTGGGAGTAACCAGTGAGCCCAAGTCCGCCATTCATATGGAAGGCCTTTCCCAACTCCATTGCCGGCTGAAGCTGAAGCTGCTTCTGCCACCCCCGTTGAGGGAAGGCGCGACCCTGTGCATCTGATTTCTTCCTCAGCTTTCCCTTTCTCTCGCAGTGATCAGGGGACGACAGCGGGCTGCGAGTCGCTTTCCAACAGGAGATCACCGCATGCTGCACCCACATAGAAAACGAAAGGCGATGCCGGGTCAGACCAGGCTCTGAGTCCTCGCCTTCCCCTTTTCCCCTCTTCCCCACCCGCACGGGCTGATGATATGACTACCGCCGTGGACGGTGGATCTCCATGCAGGAAGACTGCGAAGAAATTGCCCAAGAACCGTTATGACTCTCTCTCTCTCTCCGGACGAAGGCATGCTCGTCAAATGACAGAAGCTTCCATTTCACCACCGCCGCCGAGGGACCGACGAATCGCATTACAGTCGTCATCCTCTGGCAGCCATCTTGGCAAATGAGGCATTCTAAGGTTTAACCAGAACCAGGTGGCCCCCCATTTCCATCACGAAATGACAATCCGTCACCATGGCACAACGGGGGAATCATCGTATAGTAGAACCCACCGAGGCCCTCTTTTCTCCGATCTTCTCTGACCCGAGAAAGTGCTCCTCCAGCTCTCCCCTGGTCAGCCCCAGTCTAGCCATCCTTGAGAGGGAGAGAGCTGCAGAGTGAACGATCAGTAGACACCACATGTAAGAAGAGAAAAAGGATTCCGGGCTCCTGCACAAACTCGATCTTTCCGGGTTTCATTTCAAGCTCCGGGAGTTCTAAGATCCCGGGTGGGGGACAAACTGCGCTCTTCTTCGGGCTTTTCCAAGGACCCGGATAACATCTCTTATCAGCTCCAAGCTTGACAAGAACAGCCGACGCAGAGTAGAGAAGCCTTTAACGAATGGAAATCGACTTGTATAGCCTGATGGTGCTGGTGATGGCTTCCTCGACCGGCAATCTCTCCATGCTCGATGCGCCGTAGAACCCGTGGACCCCGCTGGTGTTCTTCAGCACGAACTCCGCTTCTCTGACTCCCGAGATCGGGCCTGCAGGGTAGCAGCATCTGATCAGACCCACAAAATGACGCACCTGTAGTAAGATGAGGTCCAGTCTTCGTTGTTTCTTCCTCGCCGAAGGATTGATTGATAGTAAATACCGCAGGATATAATAATCACTGAATTTCTAGTTGACCCGTGCTGTTTCTTGCTATATGAGTCACTAGATATAGTGTGAGTCTACAATCTGATACTAGCTGGCTATGCTATAAATTCACGCGACAATGAACATCTCCATGCTTCACGCGTCGGCGTCTGGTTCTGAGTTGCATTGTCAAAAAACCTTGGCACGATATCGGACCCGACGACAGATTTTTAAGCCAAAAAGAAGTCAAAGTTGCATGGAAGGAAAAATTGTAGATAGATAGTTTCCCACCGAAGAGAGAAAATAAGAAAGATGAGACGACTCTGGAAAGCCCATAACTTCGATAGATCTGCCGGTCAAGGATGAGATGCCGGCCCACAACACATAAGAAAGTCCCAAACAGAACCCAAGAAAAATCTTCATTCACCAACCCCAGCTTGGTGCCCCTCTCGGCACTAATTCCTCTCATTTGGGTGGGTTTGATCGGCCTAACAACGCCTAGCCCAGGTTCTATATGCGGGCAGGTTAGAAAAGACGGTGCACCGCGATCATCCTAAGATTAAAAGCCCGAAGAACTAGATCTGATGAAAGTCAGATAAGATGATATTTTCAGAATATTTTCTAACAACGTATGCTATCACCGATGATCAATGGCAAGGAACGATGACGGCCGGGTTTGATCAGCCTGGCAACAACCAGCCAGATTAGAAAACTTTCTAAAATCAAATCATCTTGTGATCCAATAATGAATCAGATCTGCCATGTAAATCAAAGAAGGTGATATCTTTTCACAAGAAATTATAACGTAATACTTACACCCAGTGCTCCTCCCAGGAAACTACAAGAATATAATTTACCTCCATGACAAAGAACGATGATGTTGGGGTTGACTTTAGTCGCAGCATCTGCAATGGCTTGGACAAGAAGAACACTATCGTCGAGGGAGATTGCAGTCTTTGCCCCTATCGATCCTGATGTTGTCAGCCCCATGTGGGCTACTATAATATCGGCACCGGCTTTGGCCATTTCAATGGATTCTTCTTCATTGAATGCATACGGAGTCGTCAAGAAGCCCATATCATGCGCTTTCTTGATCATCTCCACCTCCAAACTGACAACAAATGCATAGACTCACAAAGTGCTTGAAATATTTATATCTATAAGTAGAAAATCGTTCACCAGATTGCGGCTGGAGAAGGCTACTCAAACCGACCTGTATCCCATCCCTGTTTCTTCCAAGTTCTGGCGGAAATTGCCATCGAAGAGCCCAACCGTCGGGAAATTCTGCACTCCAGAGAAGCCAATCTGCTCCAGCTGCCTCAGAAAGTAGTCCATTCGCCGGAATGGATCGGTACCACACACCCCGGCAAGAACCGGTACATTCTTCACAACCTACGCAAGTAAAAGTCAACAAGCTCAAACAAAAAAACAAAAAACAAAAAAAAAGAACCCAAGTATGATCTCAAAAACGATCAAGATTCATGGAAATCTCTCTTATCAAAGAATCTTTTTCTTTGGTGGGTTCAAAGAGTTTGCATGATCCTAAAGATGTCAGCAATTTCAAGCAAAGATTAAAACAAAAACTGGCTGCCTACATCCATCCCCCAGGAACAGATTTTTATATCAAATGAGTGAAAGAACTCACCGGCAATACTTCATTGGCCATGTCGACTACAACCGCGTTGGCATCCGCAAAGGGAAGTAGCCCGGCCAGTGACCCTCTTCCCGCCATCCGAAATCGGCCAGAGTTGTAGAGAACTATCAGATCGACACCACCCGCTTCCTCAAACTTCGCAGAGATCCCCGTCCCCGCTCCAGCTCCGATGATGGGCTCACCTCTGCTTATTTCCTCCTTCAAACGCTGCAGTATGCTGCTCGTTCTCTCCAGGGTTTCTGTTGGAATCACCGATGATCATCAGCAGGAGGTGACCCTCTCTTCAAAAGCACTGAGTGCCCAAGATCACCAGAGCATGGCCTATGGTGAATAATCAGTCCACTCGAAATCGAGGGTTAAATTCATCTAGCGGTGCATGTAACATTAATATCCGTGGGAGAAGATGACCTGTCTTCGCATTTGGAAAGTCAACGGGGCTCTTCAAGACGATGGGCCTAACAGAGATGTCCCCGACTGATGGCTGGGGTCGTTGATGTGCTGACTTGGGAACACTCGACAGAGGAGGACTCGCATTCTTGCAGATGTGGCCGGCGAGCTCCAAGAACGAGTCAACCAGTGCTCCCGCAAACCTGGGGTCGTTGATGTGGTAGGGATATCTTCTCACCTGTACTAATCGAATTCTTCTTTACGATTGACTTCTCGAAAAACATATTCAAAAGGGCCAATCATCCGTCGCGTAAAACGTTGACACGAAGGATTCCATCATCCAGATGTGGTCGGTGGTCGGTACCTGGCGCATGTCGCTCTTCTCTATAAGTTCTTCTAATCCATCTATCAGAGCAGTCCTGGCTTCTGGACCGCAAAAGGGCTGTCCTGGGGCGTCCAAGGCGGATACACCCTGCTCCGGGAGGCAGAGACAGACGCTCGACGAGGATTGATTCAACTTCTCTGCTATGAATCCAGCGATTTTGCTGTTCTCCTCCACCGTCGTCCGCATCAGTGAAATCTGCCAATCGTCAAACGTTTCACCGGATTCACAGCCATCCATGATGCAGAAGAAGAAGATGATCAGCTCGCAAATGCTTTTTCTGTGGAATCTCCAGGGAAACGATAACCCTAATCATCATTGTCGATAAAATGCTATTTAAAGAACACAGTTCTTTTGCACAGGATCAGTCGCTTGAATCCGGAGAAGTTTTCAAATAGGACACAGTTCCTTGTTCCTTCTTTGCACCATGTGCTTCCCCAAGAACATTCAAGCATTCGAATAAAAACCGAAATCACTCGAAAATTATCGAAAAGACAGCAAGTGCGAAGGGAAAACCCCTGCTGACCTGCTCGTTGTGCACGTGGATCTTCCGATGATCAAACTTGGAAGGTATGGTATGCCGTGGCCCAAAGTTTACCATATCAACCGCCCCTACGCTGACGACCAAAGGAATCTTCTTCTCAATCATAGCATCAAAGCGTGAGCTGTCACATGCCATGATCCCTCCGACTATGTAGTCAGCGACCTCAGTTGTTGTGACATCCAAAACCCCCTGCACAGATTAGCCATTAAGACATTACCAGAAAAAAAAAGTCAGACCCATAAGTCAAAATCTTCATGTTCTCGGACTTTCAACATCTACGTGATTCCCCAAGAACCCCCCTTCCCCCCATGCAAACTTGAAGGTCAGCAAGACATGAGAATCGAAAAAAGTCAAACCTGGCAGCCAAAATCCCCATCTCCTCCTCAGTCCTTCCAAATCAAGAAAATTTTCAAGGCCGCCGACACAGATCTGAAGGTCGGCGAGGCATGAGAGGGGGAAAAAGTCAAAAACGAAAATCTCCATATCCTCTGACTTTATCAAAATCTACCTACTGCCCAAGACAGCCCACACAAATTAGAGGTCACCGAGAAAAGAGAGAAATAAAAGCTGAACCCGGAAGTAAAAATCCTCATCCCTTCCGACATTCAGTTGAATGCACAAGACGGCTCACACAAATTGCAGGTCAACAACACGCGATGCAAAAAAAAAAAAAAAAAAGAATTTTGACTAAGAAGTCAGACTCGTCATCTTCTCAGACGTCTAAAATCGATGCACTGCTCAAGACAGACTCTGCAAGTTTAAGGTCAACGACACATGAGGCGGGGGGGGAAGCGACCACAAGTGAAGCTAGAGGTCAACGAGACACGAGAGCAGAGTAAATCCCAGAAATCGAAATACAAATCTTGGCATGTATACCTGTATGAAGCCGCTACGAACAAGATCCTCCATGGCTCTTCCGCCAGTACCAGTGGCGTGAAACACGAGCGTTTCAAAGCCTTCTCTCTCCAGCCTCTCTGTAACTTCCTTCACGCAGGGAGTGGTGACGCCAAACATGGTGATTCCGACGGTTGGCTTCCCTGCCACCTCACCTCCATCATCAACTCTGCAGAGAATCTCCGCCACCATCCCCGCGGCGGCCGCCCCCGCCTTGGACAGAAGGACCCGGCTCACGCTATTGAGCCCACAAAAGTCAACGACAGAGGGAAACAGGACCAAATCAGAGGTCCCAATGTAGTGTCCGGTCTCCCCGCTGGCCACAGTGGAGACTATGAGCTTGGGGAACCCCAGAGGGAGAGCTCTCAGCGCAGAGGCGATTAAGGAGGTTCCTCCGCTGCCACCGATGCCGATGGCTCCGGCGAGACCTCCGCCGCCGTGGGCTGCGCTCAGGAAACACTTGAGCGCCTCGCTCATCACGCCGACGGCCTCTCCTCGGTCTGCGGGCAGCTGGAGGGAGGGCGGCCGCCCTTCTTGCTGTGGGCGGCTGGAGAGCACATCCTTCCTCGTCACCAGGTCGAAGCCCTCCACGGTATCGAATTCCTTCCCGCCGACTGAAACGTCGATAAGGGTGACTTCCACCTGGGTTCTCCATAGAAAGGCAGAGGGCATTGTGATATGCTGTGAATGGCCGTATAGATCTGGAGAGAGAGAGAGAGAGAGAGAGAGAGAGAGAGAGGGAGATGACACCTTGGAGGAGCAGAAGCTGCCGAGGTAGGATCGGACGCAGTCGGAGAGGAAACGGAGCTCGTCCAGTTTCGTGTCCGCCGTGCCAATACAGAAGACCTGCCTGCGAAGGATCGACTGCCCCACCTCCCTCTCCTTCCCCGCCATTCTCTTCCTTTCCCTCCCGACGATCCTCCTCTGCCAACCCGCAATCCCTTCCCCACTCAAAAAGGTCAGCGCTTACATATGATCCCCCGGCTACGCGGAGATCTACCCACAAATAGTAGTAAAGGATGGCGAAACAAACACGGTAACACAAATACGGATCGGGTATCTACCCCTGGCCTCCGAATGGCGAAAGAGGCCTTCCTCAGCACCCCGCCTTGCAAACGAATACGCTAAGCACCAACCCACAAGGGCCAAAGCCCAATTGGTACACAGTGAACAGAGACCAGACATTAATGGCGGCGCAGGGGGTTCGTTGACTTCCCCGTCAGAGATCAAAACTGACGCCGTGGAGCTCAACCAGCTGGCACCATGTTTTGAATTGGGGGGTGCCCATCAGGATATGTCTTTTCATACTTATCCGAACTAAATATTTCAATTTTTTTAAAAAAGTTCATCATCAGCCGATCCATTCGGGAGCTAAAGAGGACAAAATTTGGGCACGAGTAAATATCCCTGTGCGAAGATCTACCTCATCGAGCTCAACGCCGGAGAAAAACCTTGCAAAAGATTCAAGGAGAGAACAATAAAAAATTATTTTTCGTCTTTTTATTTCTCAGATAAACACGATTTAATTCCCAAAATTAGTGCGCTTATCGTTTTTTTAAGCCTACATCAGAGGGAATAGTTGAGGCATGATATCTTCGCATATGTATAATAAAGCTGATTTTATCAATGGGTCGCCGTAAATTATCTGGAAATAGTTGAGGATTACGTATGCCAACCCAAACTCAAACTCAAAGAGTGTTGCCGTAAACACAGCTTCATCTCAGGGGACTAACTTCATCAGAGGTCTTTCCTTGAACCCAATGATTCCCCTGGTAAAATGAGAGGTGGGTATTTGATGATGACATTTGCTAAAAATATAATAATGCGTACTGATGGTATTACCATTAAAAAGGTACATAGATTTAATTATATACAACATTTAATAAAATTTTAATATTGTAAAATTTATTTCAATAAATTCATAAGTCATGCTGCTACTCATGTGTTTCACCCTTTTTTTATCTATCATGCTTAAGTCATTTTCATTCAGAAAATTATCCATATGAACTTTTTTAAAATGGTTATTTCTTGGGATTTTATAACGAACGAGTGAAAAGACAGAAGGACTTACCCTTATGACCAGTTAGCTGTTCACCAAGACCAACAACTATGAAATATCGATCCCTGCTACTCACTCACAAGAAAAAAAATTGAAGTATCATCTCACTTTATATTATCTAACTTACAGAATTAACTTTCTATTTCATACTATGCTCACGATCTACTGAAATTAAAGCATGATTTATTATGTAATATGATCCTCACCTTTGCAAGTTCAACAGTCTTTCCCCTAAAAAATCTAAGCCGGTGATAATGATGGAATATTTCTTTGGCAGCAACCCAAATGTTTTTGCCACATGGAGTTTGCCAAATCTAGAGGTGGGAAATTAAAATAAAATTAAATGTAGCAATGAATAAACATTTAAATTAGAGTGAAAGGGGCGGAGAAAATCACAAGGGCAACCTTAACGATGGACCCATCTCGGTTCCTTGATTCGTTTCTTGAAGAATCTCCTCCATGTATGGATGATATGATTAGGTTCCCCCTGGGATGGTAAACACGCAGATATTCTACAACCTTCTATCTAGGAGGCTATTCAATTTCATTTAAATTTCTTCGGAAATGATGACCATGAGTATGGAAGGACTAACCCAAAACAACAGGAGTGGGATAAATCTTTTTTAAATAAATAAACAAGGAGCCGTTGTTCCCTGTTAGAGGGAGGTGTGAAATATAATATATTTTCTTTTTCATCAGTTTGAAATTATAAAACTTAATTCATATATAACTTAACGGAAATCGTACTAAAAAAAATTCTAGCAAAAGATTTCCTTAATAAGAACGTATGACGGGACAGATGACTTAACAAGAGGGAGATCTCCTCCTCGTAGCTAAGAGCATCAGTATCAGAAGTGAGACAAAAAGGAACGACGGAGTGAGTGAAGAGGAGGGCACAAGGATGCTTTTTCTTCTTCTTTTTTCAGGACAAGCGCGGGAGGATAAACAGAGGAGAATATAAGCAGGGATAAAAGGAGGAAAGCGAGGACCAGAGGAGGCGACGAGAGGACGAGATCCTGATGCCTACTTGAATGAAGCTTTACTTCCTCGTAGGTCCTACTGTTTATGGGCTTCCTCTCTCTCTCTCTCTCTCTCTCTCTCGGTTTGTGTGGGGCTGTGGGAATTGGTCGGGGGCAGTGAGTGCAGGTATGCATGAAGCTCGTCCACCCGCCATTAATGGCTTCCTCGCCCCTGGGGACATGAAGGAACAATGAAGATGGACGCGAGTAAGTGAATTAGTTGCCCAGTCGCTTTCCACAGAGTGAGAAACAGTGAGCGAAAGAGAGAGCCCCCGCGGCTACCTCCCCCCCTTTTGGTCATCAGGAATAGAGACCAAGACGACGAGAACATGTCCCTAAAACAAGGCAACATGGAAGACAACAGTCTCAAGGGGGGGGGGGGGGGGCAGTAGACCCTCGCCGGGAATGAGGAAGACGGCGACGCCATTACTCGGCTTTACTCAACAACAGTAGAGAGAAAGAGACACAGAGACACAGAGACACAGAGACAGAGAGAGAGAGAGAGAGAGAGAGAGAGAGAAAAGGGAAGGGGGGGGGGGCGCTATGGGAAGGCCCCCTTGAGCGGGTCGGCTGTCTTCCCCGATCGGGCGTCGCTCCAGGCTTTGGCGATGGTCCGCTTCATGTCCTCGTCCCCTTCCTCGTACATGTTCTGGCAGCAGACGCAACTCCATGTCAGCCCTAGAGAGAGACAGAGAGAGAGAGAGAGAGAGAGAGAGAGGGAGAGAGAGAGAGAGAGGGAGGGGGGAATTCAGGCAGGAGACTCACCTTCATCAGATCCATGATCCCCCCCATTGGGTCCTTGTCCTTCTCCATGCTCGGCTTGAACTGTGAGAATAAACCAGGTTTAATTTCGTCACGATTAAAATAGCAACTTATGCAGATCAGAAATAATAAACTATAAAGATTACACCCGACACAAAAAAGAATATTTGCAACTAATGTTGCCCACAATCCAAATCAATTTTACAAATCCTTCGCCGAATGATAATGGACCTACCCTAACGCAAAGCGGATGCATGAAAAAATAAAAGGATCGGCAAAGCGTCTGAGTGACATGCTTATTTCAATGTAACTAACGTCAGAACATGCCTTATCCTTTGGAGTATAGAAGAAGAACGGATGCTTGACTATCTCCCCCGGCTTTGATTCTGGGCATCAAGTGACATAAATGACTACATATTCTTTGTTCATCTCCAATGCCGAATACGTCGAGCGTGATTGAAACTAAAACCCACTCCAGATTATATAATTTCAGGAGAATCGTTCACAAGAGTGCGAAAAAAAGGAGGGCTTTTTCAGTTCAGGCTGTTCATAAAACCAAAACCCCTAAATCATAACAAGCAACCATGATATCATCAGAGCGGGTGGGTGGGTGTTCAGTTAATCAGCTCCGGGGTCAAGATCCAGAAGCATGGGTTGAGATCCCAGCTGGGGGTTGCAAGGTCATTATTCACAAGTATGGGCCATAGAATTCCAGCCAGAGCTCCAGATTTTTAGATGAACAAACCCAAGATAACGGATCCACTTCCTAAGTTGGCTCCACTTTCTACGCCCTCATCCTCACCATCATGCGTGACATCATCAAATTCCCCTAACAAGCCCCTAAAAGATATCCACGGCGGCCAGAGTACCACTCGAAACCATATTTCTCCGTAAAGATAATGCAGTAGCAGATTCGAACCAGGGAATTCAAAGAGGATCTTCCTTGAAAATAATTTTTTGGCAGCATATGTGATAGCATTTAATTCAGAATCTACTAGAACAGAGGATCCACCTTGTCTTCCTTGAAGTGCAGGTCCAGCCAATTCCCTTTCGAGGCCTTTTGCAGAGTTATGATAACCCTCGACGGCTTGACGACCGCTCTGCATTTTCCGGGGTCGATTTCCTTGTTCAGCTTGGCTATGGCGCATCGGTAGTTCTTCCCTTGGACGCCGTGGAACTTGATGTCCACGGACGTCGGCTTAAACACGGCGTCCACCTTCTCCTGCTCCACCCCCTCCAGGGAAACGTAAATCTGAAGGGATGGCATGAAGAATTTCAGTGTAAATGCCAACCGGGAAAATCAGGATTACGGTGGGAACCAGAGAGTAGCAAATGGTGGTCGAAGAGTTCGAAGAGGCCTAGGCCAAAAATGTTTACCCCGGTCAGCATCTCTAGAACAACGCCATTACCTTGAGCTTGTCGTTGTCCTGGTCCCAGCTGAAGGAGCCCAGAGTGACGTAGTTGAGCGCAGACGCCGCGGTCGACGGGGACGCCACGACGGTGGCAGTGGGGGCGGGCGCGGGGGCGGGGCCCACGTTCGGGAGCTGGGGGAAGTGTTCGAATCACAAATCGCATTGAGCGATTCCACAATGCAAAGAAGAAGAAGAAGGCGGAGAGGAGGAGGACGAGGACGACGAGGAGAAGCAAAGAGTGAGAGAGGGTTTCCTCCACCTGGTCGGAGAGAGATCGGATCTCGGAGGAGAGCAGGGAGACGACGCGGGGTCTCTTCGCCAAAGCCCGGAGCCGCGTCAACTCCTCCAGGTCCAGCCGCAGCTGCTGCTCCTGCGCCTCCGCCATGCCCGCCAATCAATCGAGTCTCCGAAGAATCGGCGTCGTCACCTAGGTTTGGGGTTTCTCCTCCCGGCGGTTGAAGAAGATCTTCAGAAGCTTCCAGAGAAACCCCGAAAGATGGAACCTTCTCCAACTCTCTTCGCATCCCCTCTCTCTTCCGATCACAATAGAATAGCCCACAATGGCCCAATAAAACTGATACCCAAAAAGCCCAAAGGCCCATTATCTCTCTCTTTCTGTATATATATATATATAATATAAATTCCTATCGGAATATTTTAATTATCTAAGATGCGAACAAACATGGCGCATCAAAGCATAGAAAGAGGCACACATTTCAGGAAAAAAAAATATATATATATAGCCCTTCAAGTGGGGGGAAAATATTATGAGTGGACCAATCAAATGCGACAGATAAATATTTATTATAAATCCGAGTAAATAAAAAGGATGGGCATGGAAAATTTAGAAAAAATAAATGCGATGCCAAGAAGAAAAGGGCATAATTTCCTCCGTCCGATTGGGTGCCGTTATTTTCCCCAAATATGTGGGCGAAGGTGGACCCGTGTTCTAAGCTCTGTGCAATAATATTACCCCGCATTTTATTTATTTTTGAGTTCTGCAGAAATTATTGTTGATTAATTCAAGAAATTTAATCCGCGAAATATCGAGAATGAGGAGTCGCCGCTTGATTAATTAGTTAATTAATTACTATTTTTAGATACATAAATATAAAGAATTAAATGCGTTTTCGACTGCTAGTCTGCAGTGGATGGGGACAGTCCTTGTCCCCCTCGGGTTGTCCGGCTCACAGACTCGAAGCCCCTCGACGGCGGCCCGCCGGAAAGGGATGAAAACCGTCGTCCCCTTCCGGCGCCCACCGCCCTACCCTCTCTCTATCTCTCTATCTCTCTATATCTCTATCTATCTATCTATCTATCTATCTATCTATCTATCTATCTATCTATCTATCTATCTGTGTGTTGCTGCATAAAAGCTATGGAGGCTGACTGTTCCCTGTGAAGGAAGAAGCTTCTGGCCGGGTGAACCAGAAAGATCACCGGGGGGAGACGAGAGACAAGGAAGAAATACTTCCCGAAAGGGGAAGGGAGCGGGAGGAGGCGCTGATCGAGGGTTCTAGAGAGCGAGAGAGAGAGAGAGAGAGAGAGAGAGAGAGAGAGAGAGAGAGACACACACACACACACACACACACACACACACACACACACACACACAGGATGACGATGGAGTTGTGGGAAGGGGGCCTGCTGGGGAAGGCCCTCCGTAGCGTGTACGCAGTGGTCTGCTTGGGGGTAATTCTAGTCGCCGGCGCCGTCGCCCGCTACGCCCTAGCAGGTACGCTTTCTTCACGGCGGGTGTCCCCCATGGAAGGGGGGAGATTGGTGGTCTCTTCTTCTTCTTCTTCTTCTTCTGTTGCTGCTGCTGCTGCTGCTCCATTGGCTGATGGTTTTCTTTCTCTCCACCAGCGGAGCCAGCGGCGGATGACCCACGGGAGAAGTCCAGGCGGCGGCTGGCTGCTCTGCAGAAGGCGGAGCTCTGAAATATCTCCCCTTGCACCATCCTTCCATCACTCGCACGATTAGGACCCTTTCATCATTCTTCTTCACAATAATTAGCTTCTTTTGGGGACAAAATCTGGCCATTTTTCTCGTGAGCAACGCGTTTCTTCCATCAGTATGCATAACTCGATCTACGATCAAGAAGGTCGCGGCTTCCGGTGCGTCAGCTTCGGATGATAATTCGCAGCAGAAACAGGAACAAATTGGCCTCCAAGGAGATCCTAATTGCTCTAATTCGGATAATATTCTGGGCATGATCTTGACAGCAGCCCCCCCCCCCCCCCTCCGTAAGACGGTTCTCTCACAACCTCGGCTCTGTATACACAGCGAGAGAGAGAGAGAGAGAGAGAGAGAGAGAGATAGACAGACAGATAGACAGACAGATAGACAGACAGATAGACAAACAGAGGAAGAAGAAGAAGAAGAAGAAGATGGATGTCAAGGGATCTCGAGGAAAAGGCGACTGAATGTTGCCCTGAAGATCGCTGGCCACTGCCGTCGGAAGGTGTGAGTTTCCGACGGCCTGTTCTGTTGAATATCCGAACAGTTTTGTTGAACATACGACGAAGACGGCTATTTTTTTTTCTCTTTTCAAATATTTTTATGTACGTATATAAAGATATACGAAGGGGGAGTTACACGAGGAACCCTTTGACCTGTCTTCTTTGCCCGAAACCCACCCAACCCTCCACCAGTGCGCTGCTGCCACATCAGCCTCTCTCTCTCTCTCTACCTGTGGAAGAGGAGGAGGCGGTCGTCGGCCAGCCTTGTTCTGAAGGAGGACTCCTTGTACTCGGACCAGGTGATCTCCCGGTAGAGGCTTTCCTGGCCGCCCGCCACCATCAGCGGGAGCGGCGCCAACCTTCCCCCTGGCGGCGGTCCCCCGAAGAAGATCATGGAAACCCTAGACCTCGTCTCCTCGCCGAGCACCACCCTGTGCCTCACGCTCCTGAATCTCCCGTTTGTCAGAACCTGCATGCACTGTCTCCCGTGAGCAACAACTCTAGCTATATCTCTCTCTCTCTCTGTCTCTCTCTCTCTCTCTCTGTCCCTCTCTCTCACTCAAGCGAGGGAGAGAGAGAGAGAGAGCCAGCGAGGGGCCGTCGTCACCGAAAGCTGTCGAGCCACGAGTGTTGGAGAGAACCATATCGTCCTCCGCTTCCTCTCCCAATAAATTCTGGTCGTCAGCTCAACCCATTCAGAGGGCCGAGCACATGCAGATTCAGCTCCAAGGGTGCAGGCCCTGCTCTCTCTTTCCCCCTCTTCCTCTCTCCCATCCTCTCTCTCTAAATTATCATGGGCCCATCTCATAGAGAGAGAGAGAGAGAGAGAGAGAGAGAGAGAGAGAGGCTCCTGTCTTCTCTCTTGCCGCGAGGAAGATCATGAAGAGAGACGGCTACATACATGAAGAAACAGGCGTCGAGAGGAAGAGGAAGAGGATGGTAACCTCGAGGGAGTCTCCGACGTTGACGAACAAGGAGGAGTGGTCGGGGGGAACGGAGACCCAGTTGCCGTCCCTGAGGGCTATCTGGAGCCCGCAGGTCTCGTTGGCCCGGAGAATCGAGACGATCTGGGGGTCAGTGTGCTCCCCGAATCCGGTCACCTCCTCGCCAGCGGCGGGGCAAGGCGGGTAGTGGTTCAGCCTGAACAGGGAGTCGCTCTCCTCGTCCGCCACCATCCTGCTCAGCGCGTCCCCCGCCGCAAGCCCCAGCGCCTTCCCCATCTCCTCCAGCAGCGCCACCGCCAGTCCCCGCACCGCCGCCGTGTACTCCGCCATGGCCGCGCTGCCAGGAAACCCACCCACACACACAGAGATCATCATCGTCGTCGTCGTCGTTATCGTCATCGTCGTCACTCTCAGGGCCTCCGAGGAGGAGGATTACCAGAGCCGGGCGGCGCCGTGCTGGTGGAGGAGGGCGGTGACGGGGCCGTCGGCGACGCCGCCGCGGAGCTGCATCAGGAGGTACTCCACCCACCCGACGTCGCCGCTGCAGCCGATCCTCCTGCTGCCGTACCCGTACGGCGCTGCCACCCCCGCGGCCCTCTCCTTCTCCTCCTCCGGCCTGGCAAAGAACCCCACCGTCTCCGCCTCCAGCCACTCCATCAGCTCCACCGGCACCCCGTGGTTGACCACCTTGAAGAACCCCACCTCCTCGCAGGCCCTCACCATCGCCCCCCCCACCTCCCCCCTCCTCAGGTCAACCACCGGAATCCCCCCCGCCGCCGCCTTCCCCTGGAGGCTCACCCGTGTGATCCTCTCCACCCCCCCCTTCTCCACCGCCACCACCATCGCGCCAATCCTTTCTTACAGAGATCTAGAGAGAGAAAGCTACAGCTACGCTTACAGATGGGTGGATAGACAGATAGAGAGGGAGAGAGAAGAGAAGCGGGTGGGTCTTCTGCATGAACGGTCCATGTATATATATATATGTGTGTGTGTGTGTATATATATATATATATAAATGTGTATGATGGTGATGGATAGCAAGAATCTTCGTAAGATCTTTCATGGAGGCATAAATGGGAAGATGGTCAGAGGGGTAGATGGGAACCGCCCGGCCTGGGGGTGGTGGACTTGCTCAAACTAACCCGTTCCCCCGGCCCCAACGCCGCCGCACGCTTTTGGTAAGATCGGCCCTTGGTGGAAAATTCCCAGCGACCGCCACCTCAGCATTGCCAGCAGTCGGACCCCTGAGGCGTGGATGACGCCACGTAGGATGTCCTGTCGGCGGAACAGTACACCACGTGGATGCTTCCGATGACGTCAGCCACCCGCGGATGGAAAAAAGGAGACTTAGCACCCAATGCGGTCCTCATAGACCGGTCGCCTTTATTTATAGATGGAGCTGCTGTCGGCAAATTTCAGATGGGCCCCACATAATCCCCCCCCTTTTATTTTTATATTAAAACAATTAAATTAGCACCTGGCCTTTGGGATATTAATCCGAAAATTATTTAGGTTCCAGAATTTACGATCCATCCGGAAATATTGCTTTTGAATAAATATCAATAATATGTGAATACATACGCGTATATAATCATTAATTATTTTTCATTTTTCATAATTAATTAAAGTTTATCCCCTAGGTGAAGTAGAAAATATTCGGAAAATAGCAGGTACCATATGTGCGTAATGTGTGACATATGGCCAAGTTTTCCACGATATTTAATGTTATATATTTTTATAAAAATATACATACGTATTTTTATTTTTTATTAGGCTTGGCGCCGTTTTATGTGATAACGGGGACGTTTTATGGGATGGTACGTAAATACCCTACACACCCCGTGACGGATGGAGGAAGGTGTGGGGTCATAATGGGGATTTGCCATACTGATCAGACGCACGTGCCGCATAGATGGCCCGTGTAGTCGGGTGTGGGGGCTGAGTAATAAATAGGTTGTATCCGCGAGACATGGGACCGCCCCCGTGGCAAGGGGATGGGTTCAAATGACGGTCCAATTGAATGCCGCGTCCCTATTTATTCAATGAACACCAACAACTGCTCTCTCTCTCTCTCTGGACATTCTCTCTCTGAATCACATGGCGTTCAATAAATGCATGGTCATCCATATGTGCGACGACGCCTGTTGTTCGCCTCATCTCCACAATCCCACAATAAATTCCCCATTCACCATTTCTTCCGGATTAAAGGAAAATAATTTACGACTCCAACGCAGGGGGAGGAGAGAGAGAAGAGGGGGGGGGTTGACCCAGTGAAGCTGATGCCGGGGTCTTCGGGCAGTAGGAATTCTATCGGACATATGTCGAGGTTTTCCTCCGCTTCAAAACTTCGTCATTTAGTTGATTTCCATTCCATCAACTTGGTTTGACTCGATCTCAAGTGATCGCTTCGATCGGGTTGACTCTTTATTCGGTCGGTCAGCATTGACCTCCGAGGTTATCTCCCCTAACCAGATTCTACTGGGTAGCTCCAAAACTCTTTAATTGAGGGATTGATCTTCCGTGAGAATGCTGCATTTATAATCTCCTGGTCAACCTACAACAAGTCGAAGCCTTTAATCAACGCCATCAATGAGACGTACATACACATGTATAAGTAGAGAGAGATAACTGAAATGATAGAGTGAGGAAGAGAGAAAGAGAGAGAGAGAGAGAGAGAGAGGAGAGGGAGGGAGGTTGAGCTTCTGGGAAGACTTGGAAGTGAAAGGAGAACCGCGGCCGCGTTGGTGGCTGTTCTCCGCGATGGGTTTATCGTGAGCATGAGAATGACGTATCATGTTCTCGAACAGGCGGCAATGGCTGACGTTCATTTCCTCGTCCACGTCTTCTCTCTCTCGGTTGGTCTAAATCTCTCACATCATCGAGAGAGACTTTGTTCAGAAGTCTCCCTCCTCCGGCTTCCTCTCACTCTTTCTCCTGACTTTCCCTGCAAACTCTCTCCATTGGTCGGCCCATGTCGCTCAGTGTGAGGTCGTCTTCGTCTCTGGCATCATCGAGGCAAATGTCTGTTGAAAAGTCTCCATCCCTCTCTCTATCCGCGGGTTTTTCTTTCCCGCATCATTGACTGAGGCGTGCCTTTCCGAGAGAGAGAGAGAGAGAGAGAGAGATCTGAATGATGTCTCCGTTGTGAACTTCGACAGCACGCTGGGTATCAATGAGGCGGAGTAGGAGGGGACGGCTGAGAGATTTCGTGAAGGTCAGCCGAAAGAGGCTCTGTGACTTTCTCCCCCTCTTTTTTGTATCCATCTTCCCCCCGTGCAATCACGGTGGAAGGAGAGAGAGAGAGAGAGAGAGAGAGAGAGAGAGAGAGAGAGAGAGTTTAGAAATTTCTACGACTCTCATCGTTTTCACCGCTGTCTGGAAGGCTATGGCGTCCCCCAGTCTGATCCAAGTTAGCAATGAAAGCACAGCAGCCAAAAGAGCCGTTGGGCTTCCTCGGGAGCAGCGGCAGTCAAAAGTCGACGAAACGTTCGAGGGGCCCACCCTGCAAAACGGGCCGGCCTACTCCTAACTCACAGGTAAGGGTTTGACCTCGTCTTGCCCAGTCAACGCTCGTCAAATCCAAAAGCCCCCGCCGCATTCTTCCTCAACTTTGATTTCATTCGAGGAATATGCGCTTTGATGTCGCATTAAATTCGTCTGATCCGGGTCTGAATCGGCAACTGTGGGCCTAGTGAGTGATGGCCCAATACAGCCCATCGCTTCTTATGGCCAACCACCCGTTGACTGGAGGGGCCAGACCATATTTGACTCGGCTGGACCATAAACATATGGGCACGTAAATATAAAAAATTACATTTTCATCGATAATTAGGATTTTTTATGACGTATTACTATATTTTTAGTCGATTTATAAAAATATCATTTTTTTAATTGATCACCCCCAGCAGAAATGCAGCGTAGTAATTTTTTTTCGTAGAATGTGACATATATATTCATTTAAATAAAAATTATGATATATTTTGATATTAACTTTACCCTTCATGCATGCTCTCGTGGATAATGTCCGTTGACTTATGAGGATTTAGTCGGACGAAGAAAAGTTGGGATCGCTGACGAGGTGGGCGGGATTTATGGGCCCATGACGGCGAAATAAACGCCAGGGGGGCCGATTAAAAATCAGATGAATAAATAAATGAATAACCAGCGAAGAGATATAAAAAGGACGGATTACCGGTTTTGGTTTTCCGGGAGGAGTCAACGGGTTGACGTGCGATGGATCCGGGTCGGGTCGGTTGTTGAGCCGTTCACTTTGACGGAGTTTCGGCGGGCTGACGTGGGCTTTGACGGAGCTTCCGTCATCGAGCAGGGCTTCACACGTGGACGAGGAGAGAGAGAGGGGAGAGGACAGAGAAGAGGAGAGAGAAGGACAGAAGAGGTGCAGAACCTGAAGGGAAGGGAAAGACAGCGGCCGGCGGGGGGGGGGGGGGGGCGGGGAGGGGGAGGGACGGGTTTTTCGTACCCTGAGCACATCCGAGTCGACCTTCCCCGTGGCGATGGCGGGGTGGGACCCTTTCTGCGGGTGTGTGTTTCTCTCTTTCTCTCTCTATACGCGGCCCTCTGGCTCCCCCGACCTGGAATAAACCTGCCATTTACAATTATTTGGAGGGATGAGGAGGGGCCAGGGGGGGAGAAAATCGCTGGCCAGGTGAGATAATAGATCTCAAAATCTTGCGATTAAAGCGGAGGCGGCGGCGCCGACGAGCGCAATGGGAGCGATAGCCGGTGGCGGCGGCGAGAGGTTTCCAATTCCTTCCTTCTTCCTTTTTGTTGTGCTGATGATGCTTGCTTGGGGGTTAAAAACCAGGGATTAAATAGGGTTTTGGGTGCCGTAATGGGAGCACACAGGGGATCGGATTTTGTGAGTCTCTTTCCTTGCGCGGGCCTTGCTTGGGGGGGTAGGGAAAGCTGGGGGAGGTGGGGGGTGCATTGCCGCAAGCAGGTGCAGCAGGATCGATTGTCCCTTTCGGAAAATTTCCTAAATCCCCTCCCCAAATCCCATTTACTCCTTCCCATTTCCATGGCGTCTCTCCCTCAAACGGCTAGAAGTGTTTGTAGAGGGAGGGGAGGGGGAGGGAGGGGGAGGGGGTGCCGGTGAAGCTTGGGGTGAGAGCTACCGTGGGGAGGAGGAGAGCAAAGCCCTGTTGAAGGCAAAAAAAGGGAGAAAAAAAATTACTGGAGGGAGGAGAAATGACGAGGGCACACCTACCAAGGGGCGTTCGGCGACTGCCATCCCCTCCATCATCCCCTCCGTCGCTCGCCAATGGAGAATAGCGTCGGTCGTAGCGTTTGCCGCTGAGGAATCCCGGGTAAATGTTGGGGGCGTGGGGCTTCTCTCATTTCAGTACCCGCCTAGAGAAGCGGTAAAATATATGAAGGGCAAAATAGGTGACGCCTTTCTTCTCTCGGCCGCCCTCGCCGTCCCAGTGGCCAATCGTGCTGGATTCCTCCGAGCTGTGTTGGGAAACAGTTTTTTCCTCTCCTTGAATCCTTTTGTATCGTGCTTTCCCTCCCCCTTTTCCTACCCCTTTCCTGGTGCCAACGATGGAAAAGACCTGGGTTCCGCGAGGTGGGCGCTGTAGAATTGGGTATGTGTGTGTGTGGTGGGGGGGGGGGGGGGGGGTCAGGCTTGTGGTTCACTTGAGATCAGTGTCCCATTCACGCCTTGCTGCTGCAGTTTTTTCTTTTTTTCTCTAGTTTTGTTGCGTAGAGGATCTTCCTAGATGCACCTCGTGTGCCAGATCTCATCCGATGATCCTTTCTTTTTTTAATTTTTTTCGCAAAGATTGAGCTTCGGTGTCCTACCATCTGCATCTTTTGGTGGAAGCGTCTGGGGGAAATGCGTCTTCCTGAAAATAGTTCCCACTTCGATTTTTGGTTTTTTTTTTCGTGATTCTTTTATTTTTCCCTGGATGAATTTTTTGCCCACCTCCGTATTTGGGTTTCAGCTCAGTTTGTAAAAAATAAACCGGAAACTGCTTGTATCAATTCAATCAATATGTTTGATCTCTAGGGACATCTTATCCACACTGAAACCATCCGTCCAACATGTTTCATTGCAAATATGGATGGAGGGGGTGGCCGGATCTGATTCTCCATTTTAATAATGTTATGCCCCTCTTGCCTGGAATTTTTCTGGCTACCGCATAAAACTAGAGTTTCTTTTGTTCTTCAAGGTTGTTGTTTCTCTTTTGAGGCCTCCTCGCGTTCCATTCCGAGTTGTTGAGTTATGCTGACTGCTGTTGACAGGAAACTACCGTTTTCTTGCATGCTTATGTTGAGGAAGAGGATTATTTTTGTGCATGTTTTAGTTTTTGCGATCTGGTGTGCTATGTGGCTTTTAGTTTTGTTTCTTTTCCCTCAAAATTAGAAGATATATAAGAACAAATGATGTTTAGTTATTTCACATATTGGTTTTTTAGCCCCCTGTATTATCTCTCATCCAAATGTTGAATGATTTTTTACATGCTCTGCAAAATTGGTTTGACCGTTTAATTAGGGGATTGATATTTTATAATTTGAAGGGTTAAATTCAATCTGGGTACTTATCTTTCATATTTCTTACTTAACGAGAAACAATGTTAAAATAATTTCTAATGCTCGTTCTTTTTTTCTTCCAGATTCGGTGAGTCAAGCTTGATGAAATCCGGTGTATTCTCATGTTCTGAGAGCCTCTAGCGGAAATTTGGATATGAGTATGTTGGAGGGGACATGCTCGAGCCAAGGGAAGCTGATATACCTGCTCTGTTTCTGTTCTTGGTTGTGCTTCCCCTTGTTACCTACATTTTACTTGGGAAGTGGAATGAGGCAGCAAAGAGGAATGCCAGAATAAGTATGTTGGCTCGATTAGCTGCTGAAGAAGCTATCAGAGTAGAAGCAATGACAAGTGCTGATGTCATTTCAATGGGACCTCCGATGAAGAATGGACTACATCAGTGTGCAAGATGCTGTAGTCCTGCTACCACTCGCTGTTCTAGATGCAAGTCAGTTAGATACTGGTATGATCATTTCATTATTGAATTGTGAGTTCATTCATAATTTCTTTTATGCTAGTCATTCATGGAATTTTCTTCTTTCTGTTTTCCTTGATGGTAGACTGTTGCTATGGGTGGAGGGATGTGTTTCGGGAGTTGATACGACAAATTTCTTATGCATAGCTGTTCTTGATGCTGTTTATCTTTGAAAGATAATATCTTACGTCATTCGGATTTATTATTTTATGAATGTCTTTTGGTTTAAGTTCTTCATCCACGTGTCATTATTGTAGCTTAAGCTATCAAGGTGGCTTGTGAGACTCGGTAGGCATCATTAACCTCATTCTTGTTTGTCGAGGAGAGTGACACGTTTTCAATTCTATAGTAGCTATTTTTGGTGCTTCAAAAATCAGTTCAGCTGGAGTGGAAATGGCTGCATCTTTCTAATGTTCTGCCCATATAAGCTGGCTTGCAAGGGACCAGGATAGCAGCATTGAAGGGAAAACTGACGAAAATGGACGGATTCGTGCTTGAATTGCTAAATTGGATTTTTCGATCCAGTTCTCATTCAGATTAAAGTTTTTAGTTCCTTGAAATATTTTGTTTCACAATTTTTTTGCTCATCTTAACAATTTTTCTTGCTAAAATGAAGCAATTTTTTGGTTGAAAACTGCTCCATCGTGGGCCAAAAAAGGGATGAAAATTGAAATTTTCGAATGGGTTCTATATAAACTTTGTTTTTTTTTTCTCGTGTTGCTGTTATTTCCATAATTCTTTTGTAAGCTGTTACCTTTAAAACTTTTTCTAACAGTTCTGGCAAGTGTCAAATAATTCACTGGAGACAAGGGCACAAGCAAGAATGTCAGCAGCAGGGTGGCGATGCTGTAAATAAATGTAGTAGTGAAGCTTTGACGACTGAGAATATGCACCCCAAGGCTTTGCTTGAGGACAACAGAAATGCATCGTTTGGTTCAAATGACTTGGATGAGTCAATACATAAGTCAGACATGTCAGATGGTTCAGCTATTGGCGAACACTTCCTTATTTCAACTGTGGAAAGAGATACACCTGAGAGAAGGTTCTCCAGCAGACAGAAATGGGATGCCTCGAGAAACGAAGGTGTTTCTAGTTTCTCTTATGGAGAAACTGACGCTCGTGATGCTAGCAATGTAACTCCTTACTCAGGCACCCCACAAAACGAGTCTCCAGGCAATGAAGCTTCTAGGAGAGTGAAGGTTACTATGCTTTTAGTTGTTCATTATGTCTCTCTGATTTGTTGACTTAACAATGCATCGTCTAACCATCTTTTTCTATCGTTTTGCATTTGCAGTCTGGAAAGGACAGCTTCATTGCATCACACGAAACACTTAGGCATCAAAATGGCAACACTCCAGTTTATGTCCGTGTTCCGACTGCCCCAAAAACTGCTATGTGTGAGCCAGATAAAGTAACAGAGCAATCTACCAGTGCATTTGAGTCGACCTCCCTCAAAAACAATTCATGCGCAGAGATGGGGCTTACTACATATAAAAACAGTGTAGTGGGAGGGGAGTTTTGTGCTAATGGAAAAGTAGACTCAGATTCTTCCAATGAAAAGACGGTGCTCACTGGAGGAACGAAATTTAAGAAGCCTCCGTATACTTTAGAACCATCAAAGTATCTATCGCAAAAGTCTGTGATGAAAGGGTTAAGAGAAAACTTATGTTCAGGTTCAGAGATGACTTCATGCACGACAAAAGAATCTAGTACGTTTATGTTGCTATCAGGGATTCTTTCTAAGCTTTGTCTATCAATTTGTGTTGCTTGATGGTGTGATTCTATTGCAGATGTTCTTGATGCGAGTGCTTCTGCAGCAAATCACGCTCAAAGAAATCATGGAGCTTTAGCCACTGAGGATATCAAGACATTTGTTGTCAAGAGATCGCCTAAAATTTCTAAACGGAGTGTTTCCGGAAATGTGGGCGATAGTTTAAAGAAAATTAAGGTTTGGATGTCTTCCTGAACCCATTATGTGCATGATTTAAGTACTGAATATTGTAGTCGCACTTCTAGGCTGCACGGAAATGAACTTGGCATTCTTTTTTTACTCAACGTTTTTTTCTGTTATACCACAGATGCTGTTCCCATATGAAGAACTTGTCAAGTTCTTTCAGTGTGAAGTTTGTGATGTCTCACCCAGGGGGCTGTTAAATTGTGGAAACAGGTCTGTCTTGTTTCACCTTCCTAATCATCTTTTTCTGCTCTGTGGAAAAATATTGGCTAGTAATTTGACTTCTCTCTGTATGACTATTTCACTTTCCAATTTTAACTTACCAAAGTGTGTTCCTTGTTTGGACGCTGTTGAGTGTTCATACAGAAAATACAATGAACGCGAAAGCTCTATTACTATGCTAACGGTTTTGGAGTGGATTTTACGGAGCTAATTCATGTTTGAACTTGTTCCAAATTCATGTTTAGTGCCAAGGACTCTAATGTCTTCAGAGTTGCTATGTCCAGAGAACATCAGAAAAATAAAATTCCTTGCATCGGATGTCAACGATTTGCAAGACGTCTGTGACACAATTGTGAAGTGTTTCTCTGATGTTTGTTGTAATTTAATATAAATATACTTCAACTTTATGGAATAATATACCATACATCTCACCGTTCGCCCCATCCACTGCAGTTAAGTAGTTAGTATTCTTTTTCTTAGATGCTACAGATTTTTCATAAAGATTGATTGACCAAGTCCATCATGCCACACCTTAAAAGAGTCTTTAGCGTACTACTTTGGATTTCAATTGGAAGTGATTTGTTCCTTTGCTTCATTACATCCCGATCCACCCAAAGGGGTGATGGGCATTTAGATCAGTTTTGACCAGCCTTTTTTGATGTTTTTGCTGAAAGTCAGTTGCGATCAGCCTACAAGTCAGGTGAACGAAACGTTTTGTCTTTAGGCTTCAATTATGAACGTCTACTGTGGCAGTGCTTTTTGTTATGATTGCCATCCTCTAGGTAAATGGTTCACAGAGAGATTGGGTTTGATAACGCCCCTATTGAAGGATCAGCCTAAGCTAGAATTAAGTATTAAAAGTAAGAGACAGGTGTGCAGAGGATCGTCACAGGTTTTGACTGTATTGCAGCCCACCCCCTATTGAAGGTGTCTTATATTCTTGATAAGCCATATTTCTGAAGGTCTATATTGTGCAACTATTGGTTGCTGGTGTGCTACACTAGACAGAACAATAACATCTTGCATAGCTAGAGTAGCATGACAAACATGTTACTTCTTATTCGAGGTGTCATAGATTCATGGAAGGTTGTGGTCGAATTTAGATATTTGTAAGCAAGTGGGCTGAAGGTGCCGTCAAGTGGTTGTTAGTGCTCAAGCCATTGAGTGAATGGCCAGTTTATTAAGAAAGCGCTATTTCTCTCTGGCCCCTTTATTAGTGGCTTGTTCATGTTGATTAACTGCTAACTGCTCCTCTTTCTCACTGTTTACTGGGTGTTGCTATTATAAACCTTAGAGACTAGTTCGGGCGAAACTCCCAAAAATGTAGAGAACTATAGTGCCTTTCTGCCAAGGTAGTATGTTACTCAGGCGATTGTGTGTGGTGCAGCTTTATTCTGATAACTTTTGCTTGCTCGATCAGATACCATTTTTGTATCCAAGTAACTCAAGTAAATGCCAGATCAACTAGATTTTCCCTAGGTCCCGCTCACTGATTCAATGCCGGTTTAGGCAGAACTTGCAGCATACGGTATTTTTTTCCTTAATTATTCTCTTTTCTTCTCTTCATGTAGCTCTTCAAACGTATATAGCACCTTCAATAAAGCATTGCATTGGTCTTATTTAGTTTCTTATCCGTTTTGTACCTTGAAATCTGCGTGAGACACGCTCTTTAGCTCCGTAAGGTCTCTTCCTGTCTTCAAAATATCATTATATCTACCTACTTCTTTGCCACAAACGATCGTACTGTCATTCTTTTGGTCAACTGTTTTTGAATTACTGGCCAATGGATGATCCTTGCACCAATAATGTTTACATTGATTGCCTTTTATGGCATGTGAGAACCTTTCTTGCGCCTTATACTTCCACGTACATAAATCTAAGAGGTGTGCTGTATGGCTAATTAAAAGAGTCCTGGAGGTACTGTTTTTTGTCTCCCTTGCCATTAAACAGTCCATCTAAATGAAGTATGAGTAATGTATTGCTTTGTGACAGTTGTGACTTTTGGAATAGTTGGATCTGATGGTTATATTATTTTACTTCATGTCTATGCTAGGATTGGTGGTAAAATTAACAACTGAGTGTAAAAATCACAACGTTTGCCACCTTGTAGTATTTATGCTGACTGAAGAAGAATGTGAGATATTTGTCTGGGGGCTTTCCTTCAGATGAATCTAGATATAATAGATGGTCATCTCTCTTGTTTATTACCCCTTTAGAGTTCACCCTTTGGGAAGGGCACCGTCTTTCATAAGAGTTTAAGGAGAAACTACTCCAAAGATGTCTGTTCCTTTTGTCAAAAGTTAATGTATTAACCCACTCAGCAGCCTTTCAACTTACATTTCAAATATTGGAAATTGTAAGGTAGTTGAAATCATGATTACCCAGAAAAATTGATTCCACTTATGAATTCAGTATATGGAATTGCATGGTGGAATTCAGGAGATCTAATTGCTCCCTGAGGTCTGATACACGTACTCCAAATTATGAAAGTTGTCTGTCTATCTATTTGTACATTACTATTCAGACTTACGCACTCAGATATCTCTCTTTGGATATCTGCAATTGAATAGCTTTTCGTCATCTTATTGACTAATTCTGTATGAAAAATTTTGCTTGTGTATGTAACTATGGCAATTCCCAATGATTCAGCGATGCAATCGTTCACTATTCCATACTTTAATCTATTAGTTGATCAATAATGGTCTGTAGCTGCTGTGTTCAATATTTTTGGCTTCCATTGTAGCGCTGAACATCCTTCCTACAATGGGGACACGTTTATGATGACACATATTGACCTGTTTTTTTATAATGTCTTCCTCTTGCCTTTTGAAGTTTCGAGTTAATAAGGGATTTGAAATAGTTTGGGAGGATTGTGAAAAAAAGGGCAGACTGATCAAAATACTGATCTCATGGTTAATAAAAGTGGTTTGTTTAAGGACGAGCAAGCTGGCGCCCTTCTGGAAAGTTGGGAAGAAGAGATGATACCCAGTTATATTAAATACTTGACCGTAACTATGACGTAGAAGTATCTACATTAATTTTCATTTCAAACAGATTTGAGCGGTTGAACTGGACGGAAAAGTGAAAAGTGCGAACACCCATAGTTGTGGAGCACTATCAAGTATTTTATCTCTATTTTCTTCGTGAGAGTCATTATAATCAGTTTTTCACCATATTATCTTTCTACTGGGAAAAATATATTTTTGATCCCGTTATTAGTTGTTATTATACCAGACTTTGTGCTTCATACTCTTATTCATGTTTTAAGCTCACCGTTTCGGATTATATCTCTATATCATTCAGAATTTCGAGTTGAATCCATTGGTTTGTAGCTTAAAGATGAGATAACAGAACTAGGAACTTATTTTATCCAGGTCCAATGTACGAATAGTACAGCAAGATGTAATTTTGTTGAAGAAGACTTCTGACGAGGCACTTGATGTGACAAGGTCACTATGTTGGCCAGATTGTCCAAAGTGTGATCCTTTTGTATTTGGTTTCATAGGTATCCTAATGCCTTGATACTATGTAGCACATTGTTGCTGAGCAGAAGACTGGAGAACTATGGGGTTGTGACACATTCAGCTGAGAGAATGGTACAATTTATAAAGTGATAATTTGCCTATGCCCATATAAATGAAATAACTTAACAGCTGAACTTGACACTCGAGAAACGGTATTAATATAAATCTGGCATCCAGTGTGCTGGCAGTGGAATAGGTGATATTTGGATTCTGCTCACTTTTTGTGATCGTTACCAATGCCTTGCAAGTTTCCTAAGTAGTCGAATCCATAACAAAAGTGGTGATATTTGGATTCTAATTGAATCTCTATCGCCCAACCCAGTATTTGCCGTGCTCGCCAATCTGAGGAAAACCATTTCTTCTTTCAGTTTCTGAAGATTTGCATCTGCTTTAGTATTGATATAATGACTAAGGCCCAAAGGTACTTGCAACATGGTAAAGTTTGCACCGAGTGACATTTTCATCTGCTATTTAATCCAGGTTGCATATCTACGATTCCATTAATGCTCTGGTTATTTCTCCCTGAGGTTCTCTCCAATTAACATTAAAAGGGATCTGGGTTTATTGCATAATTCTTCTTAACGTCGTTAAGTTGAGGTTTTGCTGTATCGGCTCGACTTTATTCTCCAGTTAGTTTGAGTGAGGATGTGTGATATCTGCAGATTGCGGTGACTTCAGCCTTCTGCTTGTGCCCTTTCGGACAAGTCGTGTACGAAGCACTGCCAATGAAGCCGAGTTTAGTGAACAGTTTTTTTTTTTTTTTCTCAATTTCCTTCCTCATCCTCGTCGGCCAACGTTATCTTTTAATGCTTCTACCAATCTCACTCATCCCCAGTCTCTCTGCGTCTCCTTTTCTCCTTATTATGTAAATGGCCGGTTGCTGCAAATGCGACCTCTCTGTGATGTGAGTATTGTCGCTAAAAGCTTTGGTAATTATTGCATATCCCCAGTTGGCAAAACCTTCTTGCCAAAGTGTCTCTTGTCTTCCTTCTTTCTTTAATTCTTTCAGGTCACTGACCTAATCAACTGCTCATGCATCCAGTCAGATAATGAACACTTCCTTAAAAAGCATGATGCTCGGTGGTCGAGTCTTTTTGTGCATGGCACTTATTTGTTGTTTTTTCTTCCTCGTGCTGGTATTATGTCTACTGTTTTTTTTCTGACATTTATGTGGAATAGGTATATCTGTTTGTTACCTTCAACCCTTTTGTGAAACATCCATGACTGAGTCAGCTATGGGTGTATACGATTCTTTACCCGTCCAGAGCATCTCTGGTCTAGTGATAGCCCACGTTGAACTTTTTATGCGTCACTAATCCCAATAGCAAGAACAATTTGCACATGATTTATGGAATCCTTATTTAGCTATTTTGCGATTTTTTTCCAGAGCAGATATCTTTTTGTTACCAAAACAGATATTTTTACCAAAAAAGATTTGTGCTTTCTGGGGCCAAGTCATTGTTGCTTGGAATTTATGAAATGCCCATGTATGATTTATTTTTATGTTCCATGTCATCTTTTCACTGTTTGTTTTTTCACCAATGCAGTTGCTATGCTAATGCGGTCCTGCAATGTCTAACCAGCACAAAGCCTCTCTTAATCTACCTTCTTCGGAGAATGCATTCAAGAAACTGTATCCTTCATCTCTTACATCACCATATTCTTTTGTCAAATCACACATGTTGGCTGGTCACTAGTCATTGTTTGGTCTATAATCTCCTCTTTTCTGTTTGGTTTATGTAATGCTAGGCACGGCGAGAGATTGGTGCCTGATGTGCGAGCTTGAGCTGCATGTTTCGATGTTGCGAGAAAGTGGGGGCCCTCTTTCTCCCAGTAGACTACTTTCCAACATGAGGAACATTGGGTGCCGAATAGGCGGTGGAACCCAGGAAGATGCCCATGAATTTTTGAGGTGCGGCGGGTGACATTTTTTTATCTGCCTTTATTTATATGTTGTTTATCTGTAACACTCCAAGTATGTAGACCTTGCATTAGTCAACGAAATCCAGTTCTTCATCTTGATGGATCTGTTGACTGTATCTATCTATCTATCTATCTATCTCTTGCAACCATTCTTCAGGCTTCTGGTGACGTCCATGCAATCTATCTGCCTCGAGGGTCTGGGTGGGGAGAAGGAAGTTGATATAGGGCTGCAGGAGACAACCCTAATACAGCAGATGTTTGGAGGCCGCATTAGATCAAAGGTGATTCTGCATAAACATCAAAATCGCTCTGGGTTTCTCTCATCAATATTGCCAACCAAGATCATATTGTTCTTCTGCGAATATCTTTTGAAACTAGTGTTATATTTAAATATCATCAGGTCAAGTGTCTCAGATGCCACCTCGAATCTGAACGTTATGAGAATATCATGGATCTTACTCTGGAGATACATGGATGGGTTGAGTCGCTTGAGGATGCTCTGACCCAATTCACCGCTCCTGAGGATCTAGATGGTGAAAACATGTACAGATGTGGAAGGTATGACGACCGTGTTCTTCTCTCTAGTTAAGCCCTCCCGTTGCAAAAGAAAGAAAGAAAAAAAAACATTTCATTGGCTGTAGGTTGCATTCTTAGTGATGTGTTGTTGCCCTGCGGTAATGGCGCCATGTAGGTGTTCAACATATGTTAAAGCTAGAAAGCAACTAAGCTTGCATGAAGTCCCCAACATTCTTACAATCGTTCTGAAGAGATTCCAGGTACTTGTTCCCTTGTATTTCGGAGATTGCTTGAGATTTACCGATTTTCCGGGGACAGCTGGTGGTAGATTCATTGTTTGAAAAAATAAATAAATTAAAGAATCGGAATTGTTTCATAATCTCTCATGTGCACATGTTGATGTATACCAAGCAATAAATCGTAGCAATTTTTATTTATTTATTTATTTATTATTGCGAATAGATGTGCTATATATAATAGTTCACGAAGGTGGCTGAACTTTGCACATCTGCTATTGCTTCCCTAGCAGAGATATAGTTTTTCGGTAATAGACTATAAATAATATCATGCCTGAACTTTAGAGTCAGTAAAGTTTGCCCTGGACTTTCCCTCTCTAGACTTTGATATCTTTCCTACTCTCCATTATGAAAAATTCTGTCACGTCAAGGATACGTGGGTTGGTCGACATTTAGATGATAAAGAAGGAGATGTTTGAAATAAATAAATAAGGTAAAAAAAGAAGAAAAGAAGTGGAAAGTGGAAAGAGTTTATTGCGCTCTTACACTGGGACTCTTAGTCCGTGTGTTTTTCTGGGGCTTTTCTTTCTATAATTTCATGCAGCTGCGTGGGTCTCTCTCTCTCTCTCTCTCTCTCTCTCTAACTTTTATCTTTTATTGTTTTTATTTTATATGATCTTTCTGTGGACTGAATGAATGGATTCGGCCGTCGTTTCATATGCATTCCATCTGGCGTTGACTTTTGGCCGGGGGTTCATCAGACAGGAAAATATGGGAAGATCAATAAGTACGTGACCTTCCCCGACTTGCTAGACATGATACCGTTCATGACGGGCACCGGCGACAGCCCGCCACTCTACTTGCTCTACGGCGTCGTCGTCCACCTGGACACCTGCAACGCCTCCTTCTCCGGCCATTACGTGTCCTACGTGAAGGATTTGCAAGGGTCGTGGTTCAAGATCGACGACAGCGAGGTAACCCTCCTCCTCCCTGTCGGCAAAAAAAAAAAAAAAAAAAAAACCCATTTGCTTCCATTAAAGTCAACCGTGTTTCTCTTCAGATTCATTTGATTTGATTTGTTTTGATTTGATTGATTCTTCTCAACGGCTTTGGGTGGATTCTGTATCCGAACAGATGGATGGATGATGAATCGTCCCTGATTCTGGGTCTCCATCCTCTGATCGATAAAAAAAAAAAGAAAAAAAAAGAAAAAAAAAGAAAAAAAAACAAGAAACTCTCTCTAATGCCCAGCTTTTTTTTTTTCTTTTTCTTTTTCTTTTAATTCTGTTATTTGGTTCTCTCTCTCCTCTCCTCCTTCTCTTCCTCCTCACTCCCTCCTGCATGGACAGGTCCAGGCCGTGCCCTTCAGCCAGGTGATGTCGGAGGGCGCTTACATGCTCTTCTACATGAGGTGAGCCTTCTCTCTCTCTCTCTCTCTCTCTCTCTCTCTCTCTATTCTGGCTGATGATCGGGCTCCCTGCCGCCGCCGCAGGTCGTTCCCCCGGCCGCCGAGCTGCTACGCTGGGAAGCCCCCCGCCGCCCATACGCCGGCTCCGGCGAGGCACCAGAAGGCCGATTCCTCGTCGCCGCGACACGGGCGGAGCCGCCAGACCGCCGCGGCGCAACCCACCGTCGGCGGCGACCCCGCCGACGGCTGCACCGTGAGGTACGCCGGCGGCAACTCAGAGCCGCCGGGGGGGGCCCTGGACTTCTCCGACGCGACGTCGAGCGACTGGTCGCTGTTCACGAGCTCCGATGAGTCGTCCTTCACCACGGAGAGCGTTAGCGACTCCTTCAGCGTGGCGGACTACTCAGACACTGCCGCCCTCGACCCCATCTCCTCCATCTTCGGCTACCACCTTCCCGACCGCGCCGCCGCCGCCGCCAGCCGCAGCAGCGGCAGCAGCCTCTCCCACGCCAGCGCCGCCTCTGGCAGCCCCTCCCAGACCCACTTCTTCCGCGAAACCAGGGGCTTCGTCGTCGACTCCTACGGCGGTGGTGGCGGTGGGGGCACCGCCCACAAAGGGAGGGTCCCCAGGACGGGCGGTGACTGCAGCATCTCGGCGAGGTACGGCAACGGCAACGGCGGCGGCGGCGGCGGCGGCGGCGGCGGCGACACCAAGCAGCACCGCCTTGTGCAGAGGACCGGGTGGGCGGATGGGTAGTAAGTAGTAGCTTGCAAGGTAGTGAGCAGGAAGTCCCTCGGGGTCCCCCCTTTATTTCTTTTTTTTTCAGCCGAGTGGGGGCTGATGCTTCTTGCCATAATTTTCTGAATGATGAGGGATCTCCGGGAACTGTGGAGTACCAAAAAAAAAAAATCTATTGATGAAAACCTCATTTTTTTCTTCCCCTTCCGACGAATCGATCGTATGACCGCTTCCGCCGCCGTCCCGTGTTCTTGATTCCGCGTACGGCGGCGGCGACGGCATCTTGGGGCGTCGTCAACGTCGATAAGCTGCCAGAGTCAACCTCGTAGTGAGTTTAATTTGCGCATAGAGAGAGAGAGAGAGAGAGAGAGAGAGAGAGAGAGAGAGAGAATCCTCCGATGAGGGTGAGGATGAGGACGGGGAGGAAGAGTCTGGCTGGAATCCTGACTCTACGGGGGGGTCTTCTGGTGTGGGAGGGAAGATGGAAGGACTAGCATTTCTTCCCTCACGGCCGAGAATCTTCATGCACAGCACCTGCTCGATGCAATGCCCAGCTCGGAAGTGCTCTTACGCCAATGGAACCGCGCCGTCCGGAGCTGCACCGCCGATGGCCGACACGCCGACGCGCTGGCGGCGCTCGGCCACCTGCGGCGCGCCGGCGCGCGCCCAGACTGCTACGCCGCCGCCGCCGCCGCCAAGTCCTGCGGAGCGCTCTCGGCAGTCCCGCTGGGGAGGTCCCTTCACGGGTTCCTCACCAGAGCGGCTCTTTCCTCCTCCCCCGCCGTCGCCAAGGGCCTCACGGACATGTACTTCAGGCTCGGCCTCCTCCATGATTCTCTGCAGATGTTCTCTCTCATCTCCCCTCGCGACGCCGCCGCATGGAACATCCTCCTCTCTGGCCACTCGAGGCTCCGCCTGCTATCGGAGGTGACGAGCCTCTTCGGCTCCATGCACGCCGGCGGCGGCGACCCCAACTCCATCACCGTCGCCGTCGTCCTCTCCGTCTGCGCGAAGCTTGGGGATCTCACCGGCGGCCGAGTGGTGCACGGCTACGTCGTCAAGAAGGGCCTGGCGGCGGAGACCTTGGCCGGGAACGCTCTGGTTTCCATGTATGCCAAGTGCGGCCTCGTCGCCGCCGATGCTGCCGTAGCCTTCCGGGAGATCGCCGTCAAGGACATCATCTCCTGGAACTCCATGATCGCAGGCTCCGTCGAGGGAGGGCTCGTCGGAGAGGCCTTCGTCCTGCTCCGTCAGATGGTGGCTTCTGGTTTCGAGCCCAATTGCGCCACCCTGGTCACCGTCCTTCCCGTCTGCTGCGCGTCTCTGGAGCGAGGGCGGCTATGGGGGAAGGAGCTCCATGGCCGGGTTGTGACGTCCGGGATGGAGAAGGAGGTCACCTCCGTCTGCAATGCCCTCATGGCCTTCTACGCGAGGATCGGGGATTCGCCGGCGATGGAGCTCGTCTTCCGGAGGATGAAGAAGAGCTCGGTGGATCTCGTCTCCTGGAACACGGCGATCGGCGGGTGCGCCATGAACGGACGGCCTGCGAGGGCTCTAGAGCTCTTCCACGAGCTGCTCTCCTCTCCTGTTGGGTTGGAGCCCGACGCCGCCACCCTCGTCACCGTCCTCCCCGCCTGCGCTCAGCTCGGAGACGTCGCAGAGGGGAGGAAGATCCATCGCCTCGTCCTCCTCGGGGCTGGTGGGCTCTACGAGGAGACCTCCGTGGGGAACGCGCTCTTGAGTTTCTACAGCAGGTGCGGCCTCCTCGCCGACGCCGCTCGGGTCTTCTCCCAGATCCAAGACAGGGACTTGGTCTCATGGAACGCCATGCTGGGCTGCTACGCCGGCGCCGGCGACGAAGGAGGGCTCCTCGCCGCCCTCCACGGGATGCGTCGGGAGGGCTTCAGGCCCGACTCTGTGACCGTCCTGACCCTTCTCCAGGGCTGCTCCGCCACCGCCACCGCCACCGCCGGCGCCGCAGGCGGCGCCGCCGGGAAGCGGGACAGGGAGCTTCACGGCTTCTCCATTCGAGTCGGCTTCATCGACAGACCCGCCGTCGGGAACGCCATCGCCGACGTGTACTCCCGGTGCGGGCCCCTGGAGTACGCCGTCAGGGTCTGCAGGAACCACCCGGGGAGGAACGTCATCTCCGGCAGGACGATGATCTCCGTCTTCATGAAGCACGGCTCTCTCGAGGATGCCCAGAAGATCTTCAACGAGGAAGAAGACGAGGAGGAAAAAGGTGAAGGAGAAGGAGAAGGAGAAGGAGAAAGAGAAGGAGAAAGAGGAGGCATCCAGTCATGGAACCTGATGATCCAGGGTTATGCTCAGAACGGCCTCCCGCACCAGGCCATCGCCATGTTCCTCGAGCTCCACCGTCGACCCATGAAGCCCAACGCCGTCACCGTCATGAGCGTCCTCCTGGCCTGCTCCCGCCTGGCATCGATCCAGCTCGTGAGGCAGTGCCATGGCTACGCCGCACGAGCTCTGGTCTCCGACGACGACACCCACCTGGAAGGAGCTCTCTTGGACGCCTACTGCAAGTGCGGGGGCGTACAGGTCGCCCAGAAGATCTTCCAGATAAGCTCCGGCAAGGATCACGTCAGTTACACCGCCATGGCAGGAGGCTACGCCATGAGCGGCATGGCAGGGGAGGCTCTCGCCATCTTCCGGGAGATGCTGGAATCGGGCATCAGGCCAGACCATGTCACGGTCACCATCCTCCTCTCCGCCTGCAGCCATGGCGGGCTCCTGCGAGAAGGACTGGAGCTCTTCCTCCTGGCCACTGGCAAGGTCCTCGCCGGCGAGCCCACCATCGAGAACTACTCCTGCGTCGTTGACCTCTTCGCCAGAGCAGGGCGGCTGCGAGAAGCTTACGAGTTCATCCGGCGGCTTCCCCGCGAGGCGAACGCGAGCTTGTGGGGGACGCTGCTCGGTGCTTGCAGAATCCATGGCGAGGTGGAGATCGGGCGGCTGGCGGCGGACCGTCTGTTTGCTGTAGAGAGAGAAAATGTCGGAAACTACGTGGTCATGTCGAACATCTACGCCGCGGAGGAGAGGTGGGATGCGGTGGAGCGGGTGAGAGGCCTGGTGAAGGCGAGGGAGCTGAGGAAGCCCCCCGGGTGCAGCTGGATCGAGGTGGGGAAGTCAATGCACATGTTCGTGGCCGACGACTTGTCTCATCCGGAGAGATCGCGCGTTTACCGGACGTTGAAGATCTTGAATCTGCAGATTAAAGAGCCGCCTGGTCCGAACGAGGCTGTGCTGGACTGGTGCGGATGAACAGACGTTCGCTATTATCATTCAGTTTGCAGGATCCAGACGTTGACTTTTTCCATATGTCTGCGAGGTTTGATATTTACGTATAAATTATTCTGTGAATCCATGCGGCCTAACACAGGGGACGGGTGCAGATCCCTTGTTCTTTCTTGTTCATTGTTCCCTCTCCGAGCTGATGCTGTTTTTTTGTTTCTTCTACTCACTTTATGTTCACTATTCGGCCGATTTGAAAACTCTGCTAGAATTTTTCTGGTTATGAAATGGCAAAAAAGTATTGACTTAATAAAAGATGAAATAGAGAAGCTTTAACGTTCTAAAATAATAATTAATGTTCTGTTTTCCAATAGTTTTCCGCTTTTGGCATCGATATTTAGCGGTTCAAACAGCAAAAATTGAGGTCGGAGTAATCGTCGTTGCCACCTTCTTGCATGATGCGAGAAACAATGTCGGAATAAAATTTCCGATGCTTTAAAATAACATTGAATATTTATTCTTTCTTTTCCAATAGTTTTCCACCTTGGTTTGACCTTCTACCTCGGGCATCGATATTTGTCAGTTCAAACGGCTAAAAATGAGCCCTGAAAGAATATCTTTGACCTTCCCTGTTCAGATAAATCTGTAATGCTCTCCACCAGAAATCTGAAAGTCAACTTCGACGAAATCCAGTGCAATTCCATGTTATGAGATTAAAACTATGCTCACTGGAAGATTTCAAATCCAGGAAGCATTTCCTGCAGACGATCATCAATAGTCAACGGCGCTGGACTAAGTTTTTTTTCTCTCCTTGCATCTGGGGGGAGGATGAATCGCATGGTACCATCCCCTAGTAATCGACGGATAGACGATCACGCAGACTTGGAGAAGAGTTGAATGATTCTCATTTTGTTTCAACCATTCTTTGACTGCCATATAGAACCACTTCCATCGGGACCCGTCTTAAAAAAAAAATTAGATAATTTTTTTTTTAAATAGCACGATTTTTTTATGCTTTAATTATGAAAATGGGATCATGGGGTTAGTAGTACCACTATTCTTGTTCATGCTGTTGTTGCCTATAACCATGGTTGTTTTTATTGTTATTTCGTTTTTTTTTTCCTTTATCTTGACAAAGATGGGGACCAAAGATGCTGATTTCACCTTCTATTTTTGATATCCATATTTTTTGAGTTCAAACAGATAAAATCTGATCTGAGCAGCAATCGTTGACCCTTTCTTGCTTGATGAGGGACATTGTTGAAATGCCGTCCAATGTTTTGAAATAATCTCTAATGTTCCTCTTCCACAGTATTCCACCTTCTACTTCCTTTGCCATCGATGCTTTATTGGCTCAGAAAGCTAAAATGCAGTCTGAGAGATCATCGTTGACCCTTTCTTGCTTGATGAGGAACGATATTGTGGTCAAATAATCTCCAATGTTCTTTCACAGAAAACTGAGAGTCAAACTCGACAAAATCAGGTGCAGTTTCAGGTTCTTGGATTAAACTAAAGTTCATGGGATGGAAAAAAATAAAATTAAGACATTTCTCAGTGACAAAATGCAACGTTTGTTTCAGATGACTTTGATATGTCAACGCATGAGCCTGAGCCTGAGCCGGACGTCCCAGATGGTCCAGAGATGGGAGTTTTTCTACAGATGAAAGCAATTCAGTGGGACGAGATCTTTGTTTCTTTCCCAGATGGCCTTGCCAGGGCAGGGCCTCCTTTTACTCTAGAGGAGCAGTCCAGAGCATGTCTCAAAAGTCTGCAGCAATTAGAGGGCAGGGCCTGCGTTGACGTTGTATTATGGCAAGATAACCTGGTTGCTTCATGCCATCACCAGGGTTCTCATTTTTGGTCCTTGTTGCTGCGATTGTTTTGCAGATTGCCTTCTGACGGAAAAATCATGGAACTTTCACTGCCTGATGATAGATTGGAAGCTGGCTCATTTGAAGGAATCGATTCTTTTTTGGCTCCATTTTATTTTCTGTTGTATCGCAGATGCCGTTCCCATAGTCTTCATGAAGATCGACGAAGCCCATCCTGCCACTTTAAAGGATTGTTTTTTGGTTGATTGAGGCAGTTGTGCCACGTGGGGTTGACTTTATGATTGGTTGAGCTAATGGCCTTACTTCATGACGGATCGAGACCTTTCCGATCGATTTGAGGTGAGTGATTCTCTTCGAGTTGATTTAATGTAATTGATCTGTCCTTGAGAACCTGTTCCCAATTCGTTCACAAAAATGAATTCCTTTGCAGTTGATCTCAAATGGGTTTAATGACCGTCTGTGATATTGGTGGTGGGTTTCTGGTATCTGTTTATATTCAAACTTCGTGTAAGTCAAACTTTAAAACAATCTTCTTTATCGTTGACTTCGGGTTTCAACTATTAGCGAATTAATTTTTAATTTTTCTGTCAACAGGGGGCTTGGCTCTTCTTCTCTGTCATAAGGGTCCTCAGGGTTGACTTGTGGATCAGAAGTCAACCTTCCTCTGAATTTTATTGTCTTTCTTATCGAGCTGCTTCATTGGCGGGTTTCTTGCTTTGGGTTCCGAGGTTTGACTTGAGATCAGAATTCGATCTTCGTTTATGTGCGGGTCTAGTTGCCACATTGGAATGTTTTGCCAGAGAGTCTGTGCAGAGGTCATTAATTGCCACATTGGGTAACAGAGGGTATGAGAGAGAGAGAGGAATTGGATTTCTCTTGTTCTGTTTTCTTCTAACATTTGATTGTTGACTATCACTGTTGACCATCCTTCTTTCATTGACTACTGACGTTTTTGTCGTTGTCGTTCCTGGTGGGGCCATTCGACCACCATCCACCCCCTTGCAGTTAAAGAACGCCAGAATGACGAATTAATACCAAAACACCCTCTCTCTCTCTCTCTCTCTCTCCCACTCTCCCATGGGGTCTCTTTCTCGCTTCTTCTTCTTCTTCTTCTTCTTCGTCCTCGTGTGGATGACGGCCTTCGTGGTTCCTTCCCTATCCCTTTCGCAGAAGGCGCCTCCATCTCCGCCGGGAGGAGGCCTCCTGCACCGGCGGAGCCTGCAGGCCTTCCACATCATGAAGGAGAGGCCCTACCAGCTCTCATGTGACGGCGGAGAGATCAAGAAGAGGATGAAGAAGAAGAACAAGACGAAGAAGAAGAAGAAGAAGAACAAGACGAAGAAGAAGAAGAAGAAGAAGAAGATGATGATGATGATGATGATGAAGGGGGCGAGAAGGAGCAGCTTCGGGGTGTCGCAGATCTCCGCCATGCTCCCCCGCGGCTTCGTGCCCCCTTCCTCTTCTTCTGCCTGCCACAATGCCGCCCCCGACTCTCTCCGCCTCTTCTGCGGCGTCGCCGCCGCCTCTTCTTCCCTCCGCCCTCCCTGAGAATGAATATAAAGACCCAGTAGCCTCTCTCTCTCTCTCTCTCTCTCTCTCTGTCTACCACCAGTCGTATCTTGATCAGAAAGGTCAGATTCTTGAGTTCTCTCGGTTGTATGCTTCCCTTCTTTTCTCAGTGCGGGGTGGAGAGGAAGGGGAAGGAGAAAGCGCCTGAACAGATGATTATCATCTGACGTATCGAGCTTCCCTGAGGAATGTGGGAGGGTCTGCAGGGAGGCATGCATGTCCACCTCCGTCTGACGGAGGGAGGGAGAGAGAGAGAGAGAAAGGGGGGGGGGGAGGGAGGAAGCCGTTCTTCATGTGTTCTTTGAAATTGCAGCAAAGGGTTGGCAACCTTAAGAAATCTTAACGTAAGAGATAATATGTGATTTGGGTTGATTCGTCTCCTTCATGGCAAACGTTGGAGCGAGAAAGAGATAAAGATACAAAGATAGATGGTATCTAGAGAGATAAATAAGTAGAAGTATAGAGAGAAGCAGAGAGAGAGAGCGAGCATATGCATTGGTTGATTCGTCTCCCTCAGGGGAAAGGTAGGCGCCAAAAAAATAGAGAGAGATACGAAGATAATATCTAGAGAGATATATAGGTAGAAGGAAGTACAGAGAGAGAGAGAGAGAGAGAGAGAGAGGGAGAGAGAGTGCTTATGCATGGTTTTCTGGAATATCGGATTGGATATGCCATTTCTATGGCCCATCCACGCCCCTGTGGGTGGTCACCAGTGAGCCACTCCGGCCCATTTGTCTGGCCGCCATTTCGTGGCCTTCGGACAAGGTAAGACCACGTGGCACCACGACGTCCACTCTTCTATCGGATTGCATCTGTCCATCGCACCGTCCAAAACCGTCCACGATACCCTAAAGATGACGTCTGCAGAAAGAAAAATGTCAAAACTACCCTCACCAGGCCTACGTGGCTCATCCATTGGCCGGTTGCTATATAAGAAATTCTAATTGGGCGTCAGGATGGAGGGAAAGGGTTATCTTCTGTTTACTCGTCTTCTTCTTCATTCTTCCTTCATCCCATGGCGGCCACTGCACCGAGTTCCTTGCTTCTCTCTCCGCTCATCCTCCTCCTCCTCCTGATGCTCCTGCTCTTTCCGGCAGCATCCATACGGCCGGCGAAGGTGCAGGGGGAAAGCAGGTTGGGGGCCGGGCTCTTCCCGCCGACTTGCGGGCGGATCGAGTGCCCCACGTACGAGGTCGTGGATCAGGGCAAAGGCTACGAGATCCGGCGCTACAACTCGACGGCGTGGACTTCGACGGCAGCCATAGAGGATATCTCTCTGGTGGAGGCCACCAGGACCGCTTTCCTCCAGTGAGTCTTCGATTTCCCCCTTTGCTTTCTTTCGTTGACGCTTGATTTGTGTATCAGGGTTCACGATCTGGTTCCGGAGGCGGTGTCGGAACCTCTGTTGATGGGGATGACGAAAGGGGATGTGGAGAGGTCGTGAGGGAATGGTTTCTCGGTGGAAATGGAAATCCTCCGAGAATGACAATCATTGAACATCCTACCCTCTGATCGATCATCCGTAGACATTAGGGATGGGAGGATAATCCGTAGCGACCGCTAGTTACTGTCTCCGGATCATGTGAATATGATCAGTCGCACGTCTTCCGTGGTGATTGATCTGCGGAAAATGCGGATGGGATAAAGATAGATCATCCGTAGCGGCTGCAAGGTGAATGAGATCTGCTGCGGATCTTCTGTGGTGATCCTTGGGAATTAGAGGATGGCGGCGACTGCTAGTTGGTCGTCGACCACGAGAATGACATCTGCTGAGCAGTCGGCGTCCCTCATTGTGTTCTGTGCCTGGATGATGACGATGATGACTCAGAGAAATCCCCTGAGAACGGAAATTTTCTCTGTTTTTTTCGGATCACTTTTAGCTCTGCTCCCGCCAAGTGATCAGTGATCTTCTGTGCCTGGATGATGATGATGACTGCAGCGATCCATGATCACCTTTCGAGCTCTGTTCCCGCCTTTCGCTTCACATATTGCCTTGGAAAGATTTGCTTTGCTGTGAAACCCGTGATTTCTATTCTTTTCAAAGTGCCTTGATCTCCATGGTTGCACAGATTGGGGAAGAACCACCGAGGTCGAGGAGTGATCAGCGAAAGATTGGGGATCACCCGCTCTCTAGAAAGTAGAACCCACTAAAATCATTAGTTTCGGGAAAGAATTGATTTCCTATGAAATCAGTCCGTGGAAGTTTTTCACCAATCATGGGATTCCTATCCGGGCCTACCTTTTCTTAGTTTCTTTGTACTCGAGTTAATTTCTCGCCCAGGCCGGGAAAATCATTTGACTGTGTTGTCTTTAATGATTCAAGCAGGTATAACCCACTAAAACCGTTGTTTTTGGGGAAGAACTGACTTTCCATGATATCAATCCACGGAATTCTTGTACTAATAATTGAATTCTTGTACCTATCTGGGCCTACTTTTTTTTTTCCCCTTTTTCTGCTCCTGTACTTGAGAACAATCGACTGTGTTGACTGACTTTCATGATTCCATCCACCCTTTCAAATTTTTGTTGTTGTTGTTGTTGTTGGGTTCGATGAAATCTGGTGGGGATTTCGATCTCGATCCCGATGTGAGCTGTTTGTTCTTGGCGCAGGCTGTTCGACTATATCCAGGGGAAGAACGAGTACGGGGAGAAGATAGAGATGACGGCGCCAGTGATCACGGAGGTGGCCCCCAGCGACGGGCCCATCTGCGCATCGTCCTTCGTCGTGAGCTTCTACGTGCCGAAGAAGAACCAGGCCAACCCGCCGCCGGCTGCCGGGCTCCGCCTCCGGCGGTGGGCCACGAGGTACGTGGCGGTGCGCCAGTTCGGGGGCTTCGTCTCCGACGGGGGCGTCGGGGAGGAGGCGGCGACGCTATACGAGAGCCTCGCCGGCTCCGAGTGGGCCGCCGCCGCCGACCCCGCCGCCGCCTATATCGTCGCCCAGTACAACTCCCCCTTCGAATTCACCGGCCGGGTCAACGAGATTTGGATCTTCCTCGTCGAGGGAATAAAATTCACCATCCAGTAGGCCCAGTAGAGAGCAAGAGAGTAGCGAGAGAGAGGGAGAGAGGGGGAGAGAGAGAGAGAGGGAGGAGCAGTTTGGGTACTCGACTTGAGGTTCAGACGATGTATGCCCTTTTAATCTGATGAGATAGATTATAGCTACACGAGAGAATTTCTCTGACCGCGACATATTATTAATAAAGCAGCCTTTTAACCGCGGCATATTTTTACTTCAGACCTTCAGATAATGACGGAATTACTCCGTTACCCCGCAGAAAAAGTTTTTGTCTCGATGCATCGAGCTTCGGATGAACTTTTAATTGAAGTCCCTGAATTATCGAGTAATAATCCCGAGTAAAAAAGAATATGATTCCAGGGGGGGGTGCAAAACTTATCATTCCGGCGACCGTTTTCATACGTTTCTCCTCTTCTTCTTCATCCTGGGTAACCGTCCCAACCCCCCTCGCATCAGACCAGTTTCTCTCTCTCTGTGGGTGAGTAAGGAGGGAGATGAACTGGTTGAGCAGGAAACTGTATCTGTACAGCGTCACGGTGGGGGTCTACGGCCTGGAGTGGTGGGAGCGCTGCAGCTTCAGTATGAAGAAGCTCATTCCTTCTCTCTCTCTCTCTCTCTCTCTCTCTCTTCCTTCCTTTTCCTTGGTCTGAATCCATTCATTCGACCGGTCGCACCTTCCGCAGACGCGCTGCTGCTGCTGCTGCTGTGGGTCGCCCTCTCCGCCGCCCTGAGGGCGTCCCTGCAGATCTACAGCGGCTCCACAGTAAAAGAGGAGAACAAAAGATGAGAAGAAAGCGGAGCAGAGCATAGCAGAGAAGGAGGAGGAGAAGGAGAAAGAAAAAGATTTTCTTCATCTCCTCTGTGGCCTTACCTTCTGGGGAAGTTCATTGACTGCAATCCGTCAACTGCCAACTACCCGCTGCAGGAAACGTAGTGAATGCAGCATTTAATGGAACCCAAGGGGAGCATTTAATGCCATCAGTTCTCCATCCCGACACCCCCGGCGGATCTGGGGGTGCCGTATGGATGAAATGAACGGACGATGGTTCTGATCTAATGCTTTCTTTTCCTTTTGGGGGTGGTGAAGAGAGTCAGGAATGTTCTGATCAGAGAGGCGGCGTTTCATAATAGTCAACCAGGACCATAATCCAGAAGTGGTTAAATACGGCATCCATATCTCCACATTGAGCGCATCTGAGCAGAAAACAAACAATTCTGGCAGAAGAAACAGGCTGATATTATCAAAAACATTATGAATAATTATATATATAGATATATAGATATATTCTAGATTCATCCTCTCACAGAGATTGATTAAATCGCGTTCGAAAATGAAAATACGCGGGACCCAGTTCACTCCTGCGGAAAAAGAACAGGAGCCGAGAATTTCGGAAATAGTCAACACGAGAATTTCGGAGAATAAATAATTCACGATCTTAGGAATTATTGCATCCATCTCTATATAAAAAGGAGGCCAGATCCAATTCATTTTCTCCAGCAGATTAAATTATCGTGAGCCTGATTTGATGACGACGACGACGACGATGATGATGATGCAGAGAAGAGCACCAATCGGGCCGGAATGGGGAGCGATCAGAGATTCCACCAAAGTCAGCCGTGATAATCAAATGTCGGCCTGTCTGACGGAGTGTTCCAGGATCCCAGCACAAGAACCGATCGGATCCAACAAGAAAGTCCACGCTCAACGCTGTTGATCCCAGCAAGAACACAACCAATCAACAAGTCAATCAGTCGGAGGTCTGAATTATCCGTGTCGGCGAGGTCTCAAACTCCCCCTTTTCCCCCCCTCAAGATCCGTCGCCACACCCACCATCATCTCTAAGACCTAGAAGATGACATGCAATTATTGTCGGGGAAGAGTAATGGCGGGCGGCGATTGACCTCGATCTTTTTTTATTTTTTTTCTTTTCTAATTTTAATTTTTTTTATTATAGCGTTCCTGGAGATAGATCTACAAGCTTGATCGATCATCTGGGAACTGGTAGATTTTACTTCTAGAAAGGAAACAAGCAGCAGCAACGGCGGCGGCGGCCCACCCCGCAGTGGCGCATTGCGCCCGCCCCCCCCCGCCCCCCCACACACACACACACAGAGTAAGAGTAGTACTCGGTAGCAATAGATCAGGAATTCTAATAAATGAAACCCTAACCGTCGTCGTCCAGGAACAACCTTATGGATCTCGATGCTCCCTCCCCCTTGCCGCCGTCTGCATCTGCGCCGCTGCGGTTTATTTTCCCTCTGCGGCCACGGCGGCGACCTCCGGGGCCGCGGCGGCCCCCGCCGGCGCCGCGGCGGGCTTCTTGCCGTCGTCGAGCTCGAAGGCCGAGGCCGGGAAAGACCTATAGAGGCCTGCGGGGGTCTTGAAGGTGATCCTGGAGTGGTCGTTGGGGTCGAGGAAGAACTCGCTGAGCGTGATCCAGATGAGGATCTCCTTGGACTTGACTCCAGTCAGGCGCTTCATCCGGCGGTCCTCCACGAAGGCCGTAATGTCGGAGGCGTAGGAGACGAGGCGGTTGACCTTGCGGAAAGTGTGGGTGAGGGCCTTCTTCTGGCGGAGCCACACGAAGCCCGTCTGCCGGTTGTAGCCTACCTCCTCGACGTTCTCGATGGGGAGCAGCCCCCTTGGGAGGTGGAGCTCCTCCAGCAGCTCAATCGACTTCTGCCGGCATAGCTCGTCCCCCACGTAGATCTCCGCTCCCTCACGGTGGGCGTCGATGGTCTGCTGCGCCATGGCGGCGGATCGGAGGCTACGGCCGACTAGGGAGGGAGGGAGGAGGGCAGTGAGCCTGTGGATGAAATTTTTTGCAGAGAATGTGCTGTCGTTCGAGAGGGGAAGGAAAAGAGGGGGTATTTATAGCACCAACCGCCTGGGTGGTGGGGACGGGGGAGGCATGGAGAACGCGACGTGGCTCCACGCACCCCGGCCATCCGTCCTTTGAGGCCCTTGGGTACGTGGCCGCCGGGAGAGGGTCCGACCGTAAAAAGAAGGTTTTTGAAGCGTAACTGCGAGGCCGGTTTATTCGTGAGAAAGTGCCTTAGAGGAGAAAAAGGTGGCAAAAGGGCGTAATTATTGCGAAACCTGTTTATTTGAAATAAAATATTTTAAATGAGAAAATCGAGATTTTATTGGTCCGAGCTGGCGGCGATTGACGTCACGGAAGCCTTCTCCCCTTCCTTACCCCCTTACGCCACCCCGAACAGCTTGAGAGAAGGGGGAGAGAGAGAGAGAGAGAGAGAGAGAGAGAGGGGGTGGGGACAGTCGCCGTGCGAAATCAATGCTCTGGGAAGCCAAACGGAAGTGGGGGGTCGGCCGTCGGGTGGATGGCGAACAGTCGCTATTGGCCGACGTGCGGGTGAGGTAGGTGGAGGGAGGGAGGGGGGAGGATCGGGGGCAGTTAATGCAAGTAATGGAGGGGCCTTCATTTCTCGGCAGTTGCTCTCTCCGTGCTTCCCATAACACCGTGCGGGCTTGCCGTCCTTCCTCCCCATGCGGACCTCACTCCCTGGTGGGCCCGGGCGTTTTCTTCCTGTATACTGAGGTTACCCATACGCCTAAGGAAACCCCCATCCGGTTGGGCGGGAAGCAGCCGCGCCCTGGCATGCATCCGACGCGTCACGAACTAACTACTCTGTCTCTGTCTCTCTCTATCTATCTCTGCACAAGCCTGCGTCAGGTTAAAGGGAACCAGCCATTTCATGCAGTCGACGAGTCTCCAACTAGTTTCTCTCTCCCCGGTTTTTTATTTCTCTCGTAGTTATCCTTAAGTGAGTAACCAAAAAGTGTGAGGAAAATAAGGCAACGAAAACAATAGAAATAAATAATAAAAGAGTATAGATTACTCCACACAGTTGTAGTTGGTCTTCCCAACTCCATTTGAATTGAATAGTTCACTTCTTATTGAAACTATATTGAACATAATAACTATTTTTAAAGTTAACTTATTATCATATTCTGATAGATTGATTAATTGCAACAACCCCTAAATGAATATCCTCTCCTCATTAGAAGTAACTAGTAGACTGATGTGACTTAGTCATTGTATAATAAATGATAGAAATTTAAATATTTATAAAATTAGAAAATATTAATTTTTAGATATTGAAAAGTATTTCTAAATAAATATATCAATTATAATTCAATAAAATTTTTAAAAATAGTAGAGATTTTTTAAGTCGATCACAAGAATATAATACAGTATCAAGTAATATTTCAGAATTTTTCATAAAAATATAGTTTTTTATGATTTTTAGACTAAGTAATGAAAATAAAATATAAATTTACAAAAAAGAGAAAATAAGGATGTAGACGTCAATATGATGTCAATCGCTTGATGAATGATAATTATTATATAAATGATTATAGAATAATTATTAGTCAAATTAAGATTTATAAAAACTAGAAGAATTGTAATGTAATGAAGAAGAGTTTTGAAACTTGAAATCATATAAAATATTACTAAATTAAACAAAAATTAAGTTGAAAGTAGAAATTGTAGAGTTTTAGTTTAATGGCAACAGTATCTAGAATTATGTGTATTCAAGATAATTATTATGTGATGTCAATGCCTCAAAGAGTCTCTTTTTAGACATGGATGACTTTGGACATTCGTTATATCTCATTTTGAAGTCTAAAAAATGATAGTAGAAGTTAAACTAATTAAAAATAGTAAAATAGAGTTTCAAAACATTGTGGCAGCGATACATTAGAATCTTGAGTGTTCAAAAGGATTGTCATATAATGTCTACATACTTAAAAGTTCTTTTTGAACAAGGACAATGTAGGCTATCTCTAAATTTTTTTCTGAAGTCTAAAAATCAATGAAGTGAATTTTTGAATCATCTTTGACAATTGTCATCCAACGAAGGAGAAAAATAATGACTTTGTGACTCTTCAACAACTGTCACCCGACAAAGATGAGCTAAATAGAAGTGGGGTGCATCTTATGAAGCTTCATATTTAAGTTTGTGTAACAAGAAGAGATTCTTTATCACATTTAGTACACTCTCAAAAGGTAGTGACTCATTTCTTAATAGATCATCCTCTTTTTGATGACAACTTATTTGTTGATTAATCAAAGATAATTTTTTCGATGAATTCATGATCTTTTTATCTAGAATCATTTGGTAATTTTATTCATGATGCTCCGTGAATTGCATTGACTAAATTTTTACCAATGATTGAGTGATTTTGACATCTTAATTGTTCATCAATAATTTGTAAAAAAATTACGATTTAATAAAATAAAAATATGAGTTTTAGCTCTAATGGGATTCAAACCCTCATTAGTTGCCCATCTATGAGAGAGGGAAATAAGTATGTGAATACCTTATAACGTAACATCATAAGGGTATCTTGTTCTCATAAATAAATAGTATTTTAGATATTAAAATTATTATAAACTTTCAAGAAATTGTGATGCTAGTTTAGTCTCACATTAGTTATTTTTGACTTTTGAAGTGTATATATAATAACAAAAGAGTTTATCATCAATGAGTCACTCTCTCGTGTGTACGACCACTCATTGTGCCATGCTTGGAAGGGGAGTGACGCACTCGTATCCTTCTTACTGTTCTTTATTTGTGTGAGCCCCCTACTCATGGCTTTGCTTGATTGTCCCACTTGTGGATTCATCTATTTTTTAAAATATATTATTTATTTATTTTTCTATATTTGTCTAAAAAATATGATTATAAAAATTCACATAAAATCACATAATTAACCTAAAAATCATATTAATTAACTAAAAACTACTTTATCTTAATTTAACTTAAATGTAAATTTATTTATCATGAGTTAAGGCTTAAAATATATTATTAATTAATTATTAACTCATGATAATGAAGACTTATCATGGCTCATATCAAATAAAAAGGGGTGGACCACCTTCTTAAAGTTACATGTAGCTCCATAGATAATGTCAAACAAATACAAAAGAGAGACCTATTTGGCTCACTTGATGAGAAGGAAACAAGTAGTGTGAATTGACACTAGGATATAAGGTGCCATTTTATTAAAGCCCACCCCATTAGTTGATGTAACTTGAGGAGGGTGTCACATGAGTTGATCCTAGCCATGTGGTATCTATTAATATGATTGGTATTGGCTGTTCTGCTTGACACCCAACAACCCTCAATAAGAGTGTTTCACATAAATGTGTTGCACACAAATGAGGATTACATAGAATGTGAGGTGGTTGACAATTTTATAAGAGAAACATCAAAACCCGAAGGATCATTTGACACTTTTTCCTTGTATGTTGGCATCTTGCAATGTGCTTGTTGAAGCTTTACTTTTTACTAGTTGACATTTCACCTTCAATCGCAAATCATGTAAGATGTTGTTATTTTGATGCAACATTTGTGTCATGTCATTCGTGATGCAGCCCAAAAATTGATGTCAAATGAGTGATAAAAGTTTTTTGATTTAGGTGGAGAAGGTTAGTAGGATTTTCATCCAAAGAACTAAAAAGTTATTAATTTTATATTACAATGGATTTTCAACTCAATTCAATGATGTCAGGCTCAAGACATTGAACAATTCTATTTGGTCCAAATTAAGCTTGAAATGGCTTAGTAAGAGATTTGTCACTAGTTTTATATGCCTAAATCTTAATTCACACATTTTATTCATGTAAAATAATATCATTATTATGTTTAGGGCATTCTTGTTTCTTAGGGGCATTCTAATAAAATCTTCATTTTCCACAAGAATATTTAATCTTTTTTTTAGGATCATAATAAATTTTCAGTTTTATATGTTAACTATAACTAATTTTTGGCCTATAAATAGGCTCCCCTTGTAGCCCCAAAGGTGATGAATATTTTTATCCATCTATTTCAAGTTCACTTCCTCTTTGGAGGTTTTCCATCTTGTTAAAGCTAGATTTTTGTGATTTAATTAGTTATATTATTTTATTTTATTATGTTAACTTTTAGAATAAATATAGGAATATATTGTTAATTTTAAAAATCTGAAGTTAAAATACTTAGCATAATTTTTAATTATTTAGAAAAATAAAAGAATAATAGAAAAAGATTCCCATCAATTGGCAAGCTGACACTCAATAGTTGACCTAGAGGGGCGTATTGTAGTTGAGTGGGTAGATGAGCTAGGCTCGTGTGGCGAGGGGAACTTGCTTTGGTATGTGTGGATCACTTTCCTACCACGTCTCGATGGCCAACTGGCCATAGAGCAAGGAGCGTTGTACACATGTGTGTGTGCGAGGGCATACCACCTTTTTACCTTCTCCTAAGATGATTTTGGGCATTATTTTATTTTGGGAGAAGGGATCTTTGTTGACAGATCATAGCTTTGATTTATATTTAGCTCATTCACTAAAATATTTCTGATGTGGGACTAAAGTTTTTCATCTATTTTAAGTAGCTGTTTGGAGTGTAGTGTCATCCAATGGTGTTCAATGAGCCATGTCACACTTCGCTTGAGAATTCACACACTTGACATGAGGTCAATTATGAATGTCTCCATATTATTTTGAATAGTTTAACAAACAATTTTTTTGAATAAAAAATAAAGATGAATATATTTTAAAATTCACAAAAAGGAAAATTTGGGGGAAGAGATCATGATGATGTTAGCACCCCAACAAATGTGACTTGGATAAAAATAGAGTTATATTCTAAGATTTTTATATAAATGAATATAGATGATTTAATTGATTAAATTAAGGTCTATCAAAGCTAGTGGAATCATAATTGAAGTAATAAGATTTT